ACATAGTGGAATGTACTTCTGAGAAATCACACACTACAACAATCTGTGAAGCACTCACATGAATACATCCATACAAGTAAGAAGTCTCTCAAATATGCTACAGATTAAAACTTACATCTGTGTATGATTTTCTAGGATGATCATACAGTTTTGCTTGAACACTGCTGCCACTCAGGTATGACTCAGACAGAGTGAAAGCTTCATGCTGAGGTCTGTAGTCAGCATAAAGCTGATGATAATTATTGGTATTCATTCACAAATTTCTGTAAGGCTAAACAGAGGCATTATTTGCCAATGTCTTAACTGAAAGCTGTGGGCAGGGCGGAGCTGCTGATAATTTCCTACTAAAATAATGTAAAATGAACTTATGATACAATGTCACATTCAAAACATCCCTTCCTCCAATATCAGTCCACAACCAGTAGCTTTCAAGGGACAGGTTGTACAAAGCTGAGTGTACTGCCGAGGAAAAATACATTATTTTTTAAAACTAAATTTTACAAAGGAAAATTGCATTCCTGCAGGCTACACATTCTTTATTTTAGATAGGCTTTAAAAACACAGTTAAAAGAATGCATGTTGTGATGTGAATCATGTTGACATAACTTCAAAGCCTTATTCACTAGAAGTTTTTTTATTTTTTAAAAATCATGTAATGATTGATTCCTTTATTACAATCAACAGATCAGATAAAATCATGTAATGAAATTCTGCTCTTCATATTTTTGCTATCAAAAGTGCTGCTTTATAGTTTAGATTATAACATGCCAACACAATTATAGACATGTTGAGAACTACTGCATGCCAAGTGAATTTAAAAATGTTAAGGATTTAGCATGTTTTCTAAAAAGGAGGTAGGTGCTTTGCATATGAATGAGCAAAGGGCAGAGTTTATGTGTGTAATGCACATAAAAGGCACAGACTGGAATAGAGATACAGAGAAATAAAAAAGGGGAGGAGCACAAAATTAACGAAACATTACTGTGTGTTTTTAATGGCCAAATTAGTAAAATTAGGATCCTATGCTTTCTACACATTACTTTGTACTAAAAAAGCAGTATTATATTAATTCTTATTATAAACTTATTTTCCTGAATAGCATTCCCACTTCACAGAGAACAAGTATTTTGCCAGTCAGTATTTATAAGGGATAATTTAGCCTACTAATACAAAATGGCATGGAGAAAAACAGCACTATAGATTAGTCACTTTCATGGACTCACCCTGATCCAGACCCCTGCCTACTTGCTTGACACACAGATGTTCCTTATATGAAGTATTCCATTAATTTCACTGGTGGTAATAGATCCATGCATATGCAATGATGTGCCCACAAATCTGCTATTTTCAGGGAAGAAGTCAACAGAATTCTACTCTGACTTCTATTATTTCAGTCAATGTTGCCAGAAATATTAATGAAAACCCTGTGAGTTTAGGAGAGACCCTTCAGAATTACTATGTTCACACATTTCCCCAGATTACTAGCAGGCTGGAAGTGCAAATACTATCATATATCAAATGTGGACCCTGACCGTTTCTAAAACTTAGCCATATTACATTGCCTGTGAAGATTTTGGGACATCTCCATATTGCTTCAGCTCCACATGTCTGACACTGCACCTTTTAACTCAAACCACATTGATCACCTACTAACACTTGGTACCCAAGACAATACATTCAAAACAATCTTGTTATCTACAGGTGGCTCTGAAAGCACTGCAAAGGTTTCTATGTTTTGAGAAGTCTGCAAATCAAGATAAGGTTATTTTTAGCTTAGGTTTTAATACTCTTGAAATCACAATCTGATTAGTGGCAAAGTATCAAAAGGTATTCTTGATCTTATGGACTAGGGCAGGGGTTCCCAACCTTTTTAACCCTGCGGGCCGACTGGGGAAGGCAGGGCACCCCCTTGTGCTTGCATGCATGCGCGAAGGAGTGGGAGGGTGCTCGTGCGGGCACACGGACACATATGCAAACGGTGGTGCAGTGCTCGTGCGCATGTGCAAAAGGGTAGGGGGAGCTGTTGCTTGGGCACTGGCACATGCAAGCATGCGCAAAGGGGCTGTGCAGGGGGTCTGTGGGAGGTCTGTCTCTGTGCCCCGGTCCTTCTCAGCCCATGGACTGGCACCAGGCCATGGACCAGGGGTTGGGAGCCTCTGGACTAGGATACAGAGACAGATACCATTTTCAAAAGATAGTTAAATGAATTCAGTTTGATATTTCACCAAGAATTAATTATCCAATTTCAAAAGTGTTTGGTAACCCAGCATTTACATCAGGAGAAGCTACAAGGTGTCCCCTTGCTCTTTTGCTAAGAATCTTCATTATTTGCTTAATACTCTGAAAATGCACTATCCATCAAAGACAGCACAGTAGTTTATAACTGCTATGATAAAACTAGAAGCTTTTACATATTTCAGTCCACCAGTATTGCACTATTAACCGATCAGCATAATCCAGTGAAGATATTTGCCTCTTTTCAAGTGTTTGGGGATACAGAGTTGCAATGTCCAAGTGCAAATCATATTGGAATGTGATTATAAAAATATGGAATACAAGTTGTTATACCATGAAATGGAATGTTATTCTAAAAAGTTATGAAAGCACACTGAACAAAACCTTGAAGACAAATTTAAATAAGCAGAGTTCTAAACCTTTTGTTTGCCCTCTCCTTTTTATTTATTTATTTATTTATTTCCCGCCCTTCTAGACAAAAGTCTACTCATTTGTATTCATTGTTAGCCCTTAGATCGCATAGGTGAGAATTCTTCTTGGAGCTGCAGTTCATCTGAGAAGGTCTTCATGTGTTTGCTCATTTCTAATTCCCTGATTCCAAACTGTATTTGCTTGGCTAAAATACATTTGTTTTAACAGAATGGCTAACCATGCCCACTGTATCCTATCCACTGCTGCACTGTAAAGCAGCAATGTAGTGTCAATAATATATTCATGGTAAAGTATCAGAATTCCTCCCATTTATTTATTTATTGCATTTATATGCCACCCATCTAGACATACTGTAGTCTACTCCATGATGTCTAGTAGTTAGGATTCCTGGAGTTTATCCAGGTGGTCTGGGTTCAATGCTTGGCACTGGAAAGGTAACTTTTTACATATGTTTTTATGACAGCAAGTATTGGATTGGGACTCAGAAAACCCAGGTTCAAATCCCTACCCGGCCATGGAAACTTACTGGGGGGGGGTAACAATGGTCAACTACCACATTTCCCATACCTCAAAAACCTTACTAGAGTTGCCATAAGTGAGAAGTGACTTGATAGCACATAACAGCAACATGGTATCAGAACACCAGCCAATGTGAATATAACAGTCATTTGTTCCTTCTTTATGGCAATATATACTTAAAAAAACAGAACCAGACATGGGATATTCGTATTTGTCTCCCAGGGGAGGTGAATACAAATATCAGCAACACAGGTGCCTGGGTCATTCGGACCCTCCCCCCAGAACTGGCCGATAGTCACTTCTTGCCACGCAGTATGCACAGCCATTATAATTTGCAACATGCCAATTGCGGAAGTAGCTCAGCTGGTGCTTCGCCACCTTACCGCATTGCTGACCACTCAGCAGCTGAGTGGAGAGACTCATCATCCCATCCCCTCAACGGAGTGGTTGATTGTGCGGGGAGGTAGGGAAGTGACAGTGAGGCTACTTCTATGATTGCAGCATCACAAATTATGATGGCTGTGTGCGCTGCATGGCAAGAAGTAACTGTATCAGCCAGATTCCCCTGATCCCTATTTCAGGAGCCCAACTACAGACACATTATACCACATGACAATATTATAAAACTCAAATCTATTATTGAGTGGGGGGGAATGCAACATGTGGTCTAAAAAGCACACGTTGAGACTTTATTAATAACACATGAGATGGCAACTTACAATGAATGGTACCATTAGAAACACAATTTGGATGTATCAACAAAAAAAGTGCTCAGGCTGAAATCAGAATATATTTCCCCAGTATGCTATTAAACAGACATGACACATGCAGAAAAAGGATGAATAAAAAATTCTGGTGTTGGAAACATAAATGAAATTTTCTGTCAAGCAACCAACAGCAGCTTGGACTGTTTCATTTCAATAAACAAGAAAACTGAGTAGTACACGGTGTAAGCAGAGCCAGGGCAAAACAATAATTTGGCTTGTTGAGCATTCATTATGCTTACCATCTTAGATGACTTTAAAATGAGATGAGAACATTAATGAAGGACAGACAGTCTTACTAGTTACACAGCACTGTCTCTGAACAGAAGCTCTCAGAAAACAGAAGGAGCAGACAATTACCCTAACAGTTTATCTGAGGATGTTTCAAAGAGATCATATTAGGTACTGGAGAAAAAGGATTCTGGACTACATGTTGGGCAAGAGACACAGAGGAAATAATGGGGCAGTTCAATGTGGTTTTTGGTAATATACCTAAATTGGATCAGACCTAAACTGCCCCATTATATCCTCTGTCTCTTGTTCAACATTAGAAGGAACAGTAAAAACAAAACAAAACCCACAGGTTCCTTTTAAAGATCCTAAATGTGTTTTATCAGCTTTTTGTGTAATTTCTTGAGCTAAATCATAATTCCAAGGACATGTTTAAGATTTGGTCCCTGAGAAGCTACGTAATCCCGAACTTCTCTGACCTGTGCTCTGCTTAACCCAACTTAACTAAAACATACATTGTTTGCAGGTCTATTTTCTGCAGATCACGTCACCAGTGAAAGTCCCATCACAATCCTGCTTCAGTCTAAGTTTTAGCATGGAGGTCAGGAAGTTTCCCAAGTACAGTGGGGTCTTGACTTGAGAACTTAATCCATATTGGAAGGCGGTTCTCAAGTCAAAAAGTCTGTAAGTCCAGTCTCCATTGACCTACAGTGAATTGAAAACCTATTAATCCCGTAACAGACCGTTTTTGTTCCATTTTGGTTTTTTTCTGGTCTGTAAGTCAAATCTCAGTCTGCAAGTCAAACCTAAATTTTGCGGCCAGAGAAGTCTGTAACTCAAAAAGTCTGTAAGTCAAGCCGTCTGTAAGTCAAGGGTCCACTGTATAGGGGGACAGGTTCAGGGACTAGTATGCTCCTTTGCACCAAAAAATTTGAAGCAACCCTGCAAGATCTTTACACACCCCTTGAGTGGGGGGGGGGGAAGCCAGGAAAACTTTGGATTTCCATGAACAATGTATCATTTTTTGACATGAAGTTGTCTGTTTTCTAATACTTCAGTGTGACTTAGCATGAAATATTAATTCAAGTCCCATGCCAACTCCTAAGCAGTCTGAATTGCTGCATGGAGGACCAAAGTATTTACAAAGTGCAAAAATACAATCTAAGAACCCTGACTCTTTTCTCAATAGATGACATCTTACATCATGTGGGGCACTGAACCGTCTAGAGCATTATTCCCAGTGCAGCTTCTGTAACATTACCTCTCTCAGACAACATGATACAGCTGATTAAGGCAGCAAAACATTGCTCTTGGCCTGCTTTTGTGATTTCCACATTTATTTAAAGAGGCCTTAGGATGAAAAGTAAGGCACCACCAGCACAGTAACACAGATTTTCCATTTGTACCTGTGTTGTCAGTACACAACAGAGATTCCCCATCATAAAAATCCACTTTACACTTTTGCAAGGAGTACTGGATGGTGCCTTGCGCAGGGAGTTTGGAAGTCAAACCGTTCAGCCTATGTCTGTTGTCCAAGCAGTTCATCTCAACAGGATCTCAGCCATGGAAACAATTGTAAAAACAAAAATTCTGATTTGGATTAAAGAAGAATATGGAAGTCTTAACACTAAAAAATGATCTAATCAGTTTTTAAAGAGATCTCTGCTGATGCAAGACATTTTCAATTTATATTCAAAATTTATTCTGCAATGAAAACTATTGTAATATAAATTACATTCTTACAAGCAAACAAAGAAAAGACATCATCTTTACCAAACTACTGTACTGATGACTCCAACTGATGGGAAAGTTTTCCTCCAGTAGTTAATGCAAAGCTGTCACTCTGCAAGACCTTCTTCTTTCACTTGTTCAAGTTCATCCAATAAATCTTTACCAGCTGGTCCTGCTTTTGAGGCAAACAAAGTTGCAGCCTGGCTGAACCCTAGAGTCTTCAAGCTTCTGGCATAATCTGCAAATGCTGCATGGATTAGTTTTCGTAAAGTGTGAGTTAAGGAAACAGATGTGAACAGCCAGAGAATATTAGGTATCAGAACTCTTTATCATCCTGTCCCCAAATATAACCCATATTTAGTTGGGACAGTTTATCTTATAGCAATGCTTAAAGTAAGCATTATCTACATTTTGATCCTGGATCTATATATACTGGATATGAGCTCTGCTCTTTCCCATTTAACATAGTGCATACTCATATCACCTGGATAATCTGTTTCTACTTACTCCCTTGGAAAATGTTCTTTCCTTGAATGTTTTCTTTTTCACCATCAACTGAATAATTTTGTTTGCAACTCTAAAATAACTCTCCAATTTAGTAGACTTCTATTTTTAACACTGCACAATTTCAGAAAGGATATTTGTATCTTCATTAACTTCAATTGCACCATACTTGAGGCAAGCTTCAACAAACAAGGCAGCCCTATCAAAATATCTCAAGCTGTCAAAGAGAAGACAGATCAATCAGGATATTAAATGAATTCACAGGATACTAAAGACACCTCAATATGGTTGCAACCAACCTCTGTGATGCCTTTCATGCAAACATTTCAAAAAGAGCTAAATGCTGAGTTTCAACTACAAGCAAGAACTGATACAGCACATACGTTTATTCCATCAAAAGCAAATAAAAACTCTGCTTTTCAATCTATTTTTACAGGAAAGAAAGGAAAAAACCCAAATAGACATAAAAGATGTACACATACATTCTGCAATTCTCAGTCATGTATCTCTCTCTCATCACTAGGCTTTGTGTGTGTGTCTCTGTGTGTGTGTGTGTTTAAGATTCTGTTGCTTAACTTTGTAAAGATGGTACTGGTACACATGTGACTCATTACATGGAAATGTGGGTCATGACTTTTCAGATAAACAGAAAAAAGGAAAAGGCTTTATTTGACCTGTGTAACATCTCTGCAACTCTCACGAAACATCCAAGGGAGAGAAGGACAAGGATGGCCTTGGATTTCTGATTAATTTGTGGAGAACAAAGGTGATCAACCCAACGCTTCAAAACATCAGCACACTCCTCTGCATTAAGGCGAACCTAGGAAAAAGTTGAAGTAATTGAACAAACTGTAGAATCTGTGTTACAACCCAAGCATAGTTAAATATATAAATCAATATACAATATGTTTTACTTATCCTGCTTCTTTCTTTTTAATTATCTTAGTGTTTGGCAAATATGGTGAACAAAATCCTCTGGTTCTTGGAGCTCTCCTGCATACTCCACCTGCTAAGGTGCTGCATCTGAGAGGTCACCAGGCTGTATATCCCCTATGTGTAGCTGGTGCTCCTTCACCATGGCAATACAAACACTTAGACTGCCCATTGGTGAGGGGGATTTTGTTGGTGCATGTGGCACTTTTTAAGTTTGCCTGTCAGGGCCATAAAAGGTAGGAGGGCCTCAAACAACAAATACTGTTCTTTTTAAGGGTGACTCACAGAGAAGAATGAAGAGGGAAGGTTTTCAGGATAAACCAATGAAATAGGCTCTAGAGGTGTTTCTTCAGCGGTGGTTAAAGGGAAAGGAGGGATAATCGCTAGGTACAGGGAACTGTGAACTGGAAAGGGGGTGTCCCCTTTTTTCTTTAAACTCTGGAATATTTTGATATGTTTTGCATAGGTGGAGGAACACCCATGTGTGAATATACAGAGAGCACAATGAAGGATCACGCATATGCAAGTTCTTAGCTTCTTATGTGGTCAATCTATATTTGTTAGCAAGGAACAGATAATATGGAATAGGACGTAAAACTGAAAAAACTGCCTACTTTTGCAAGCCATGCTGCTCGACTCCATTCACCATAGGTTTGCAGGTAACGACAGGCATCAGCAGCTTTATCTATCAAACACAGTAACTGGACACCCTCTGGGGGAAAGAAGAGTTCTCTAAGTTTAATTAATCATAATTTTTAAAACCTACTAAGCCCCCTATTCCAGTTATTAATACCATGGAGTAAGTGTGGTCTTCAGGCCACATGCACCCTTCTTGTAGCCACTAGACTAATGGTTCCCAAATAATTTGGACTTCCGGCTCCTTTGATTTACTGACCACTGGCTGTAGCTCCCCTTGGGTCCACTATACTATCTAGTATTCAAGAAACAAATGTACCTTTAGAACTAATGTTACCAAAATGCCCAGAACAGCATGAGCTGTATTTTTAGTATGGTTTGATAAATCTAAGAAGATTTTTTAAGAAACTGCTTTCTCTGTACCTCGCCATCTATCTGTGAAGCACAGAGTTACATTTAGTTTAAGGACTTACAGTCAACCTTGCAACTTGTATTTTTGGCTCAAGAAACAGAACAATGATTTCACCTGCCAGCTTTCCATTTGCAATCATGTTGGTTGCTACCAATTTGATGGTGCTTTGGGATGGACCCGAGGATGTGACTGTTGTGACTAGACATGCCTTGAGGGAATCACAATAATAATAGGGGTTTTCAGCACTTGTCTCCAGAAGCAACTGCACAGCTCTATCAGTCTGGGAAGGAATAAAATAAAAATTGTTCAGTTTTGAATGCATCCTCTCTGCTCAATAAATCTACTCTATTAACGTAAGGGCTTCTTCGGTTTCTTTTTTTAAGAATGGAAAAAAACTCCATCATATTGTGACAATATTTACTGTAAGTGCAACTTAAATTCTATTTAGTCTGCTGATAAACCTCAGACTTAATCAGAGCACATGCTATTGTAAAAGAGCTTAACCTGGCAGCACAAACCTGGCCAAGATGTAACAGCTGGTCGGTGCATTTCCTTGTGTGTTCATAATTTGATCTTTTAACTTCTTGGAGGTTGACCCTCTCAAGCTGGAATTTCTACAGAGATTCATAGGCAGAGAAAAAATTGAAAATGCACGTGTTAGCAGTCTTACTTGCAGTCCTGTTTAAAGAAACATGGCAGTGTCTCATTCAGTGCTTTCACAATCTAAGGGCCATTATTATGTTTCAAGGAAGTTACTTTCACACATGATAGTGAAAATGGCTCCACTGTTCGTACATTACTTTCAAGCACATTCTTCATGCAACCCCCCCCCCCCCCAATGGATAGGTGGCCTCAGGAAAGGAAGAGAAACAGGGACAGAAAAGGCCACAGAACTCAGCAGTAAAAGATGCAGCAATAAAGCAAGCTATGTACAAAATTTTCATTCTGCGGAAGCTTGAGGCTTACGGAAGATACAAACCCAGGCTTCAAAGTAAATGAGGAAGGTAAAACAGGACATGGAAACTCACAAAAAGTGAACAGCTTTCAACGGGCATTGAAATAAAGAAGAGAAAATTAATGGAACTCAAAAGCTGCTAGCAAGCTAATGACAAGGGGTAACAGAAAGATTTAGAAAGGTACGTAGGCAGGAACATGACATTAGATATTGAGATAGGAAATTATGGCTTTGTTGAAGAATAGAGGTGTGAATATAAGTCAATATGAGTTTAAGAGGGCAGTCACCATATGTAAACACTAAAGTTCTGCTCAACATATTATGTTCCTCAGAAACCTCAATATTTATGTTGAATGTTTAGACTTCTGGACAAGAGAAACTGTTGCACTTTGTTGTTTATTCTTTTGGTGATAGTGATTCAGCTATTGTTTGGAGAAACTATGTTGCAACTGCACTTGAGGTTACTGGATAATCTATAAATGCAAATTAAATTCAAAACACATCAACTCCTACACATTGAAGACACCCTACACTGTGCAAAGCAAAACAAAGCAAAGCAGTATAAATATATATTCACATATTTAGGTACATAAGTAAGAAAAGCAACAACAGATATATGGACACGTGAACCTAAAAATGAAATGAAAGCAGGCTTAAATGAAAGCGAAAGTAATCTTATTTGTTCAACTTGCTAAGTAAAAAGTTTGCAATACCTGGAAATAGGAGTTTTCACAGAGCGTATCGTAACAAATATCTAGTGGATTGATCCATTTTTCTGGAGAAGCAAATGTGTCATCTTTCCCAGTTTTCCCCTGGGAAAACATATGCAAATAATGGGCTGCAACAGTCCAGAAATGTAGCTCTGATTCATCCCCATATATCCTGGGAAAAGCAAAAATCCAAATCAACAAGTTATTGCATTTAGTTCTGAAATTGCTGAATGTGATTATCGATGCTACTGTCATTATCATGTAATAAAGAAGGGAGGGAGAACATGAAAATTGCAACAAAATTGCTCTCTGCTGATATAAAGAGCTGGAGAAAAGAATTCAGCCATCCTAAGAACTTTATTCACAAATATAATTTCTGTAGGCACAAATAATTCCCTATGCATACAGCATGAAAGTAGAGCCTCACACATCTTAAGATAGTGGGAAGAATGACATAAATCTTTGCACTAGTTCAAATCTGCACCAGCTTTGAGGAGACTTGGCAGTTCAAAGCTGAATTGGATATCTTTAGATCGTTTGTTCATAATTCCCCTTGACAAATGTCCAGTTGTGTCCGACTCTAGGGGGCAGTGCTCATCCCCGGTTTCAAGCCATAGAGCCAGCGTAGAGTTTCCGTGGTCACGTGGCCAGCGCAACTAGACACAAAATGCTGTTACCTTCCCACCATGGTGGTACCTATTTATCTACTCGCATTTTTACATGCTTTCGAACTGCTAGGTTGGCAGGAGCTGGGACAAGTGATGGGAGCTCACTCCATCACGTGGATTCAAACTGCCGATCTTACGAACTTGCAGCCCAGAGGCTTTGCGGTTTAACCCGCAGCACCATCACGTAATTCATAATTACCATGGTACATAACTACAAATACAAAGGAGCCACATGTAACTGTCCAAATACAACTAACACAAATATTAGAGGTCTTTCCTATGTAAATCACCATGAGTAGAAAGGAGCCTATTAGCTCAGCAAAGATTAGTTGCTATTTGTGCACATGTTCCACCTGACCATGATTTTCCAGGATCCCAATTCATGTGAAAAGCTTCCACAGATAACCGAGCTCTACCTCTTCAAAATCATTGCCCTCCATTTATAGGATACCACAATTTTAACTGGAGAGGACAAGGTAGAGCATTTCCCTCTGTCCATGGTGAGTATACACAAATGTTCAAAGCCTGAGCAGACCAATACTTTACAAATACCACTACCATCAGATAAAGACAAAAGCATTCCAAAGGAAACTTTTCAATAGAACAAATTCTCTTGAACCTTTATTTTCCTTGCTTGTGTCGTTTCAACGCAGAAAATTTGTATGTTATACCTTGATTAATCCAAGGCACCAATAGCTCTATGGTGTTCTAAAATCAATATTCTAAGTCTTAAAGGTACGTGATAATTACTTGTAAATCTAAGTTGATGCTGTTTACTTCAACAAGTTTCTATTACCTTGAAACCAACAGGCATCGCTGTAAAATGGTGAAGTCTGGATCAAGTAGAAGTTTCTTAATATCACTAGAAAAAATAAAACCATCTTGCTACAGAGCAGATTCAAACACATGTGATGTGATTCACAGCTAGATATCACTGATTAGAAAACAAAGCAAAAGCAAGCCAGAATTCTTTTTCTGTGGTCTGACTCTGAACCCATGTTATTCCACACAATCTCTGTCTGATGTTGCAGACCACCCTGATGGAATGAACAGGGCTTCTATTTACTCAAAGAGGTTGTGGAGACCTCCTTACACAAGCACAGAACTCAAAACTGCTAATGCAATATAGTGACATGTAAACAGAGTTGACCAGCAGAAATATGTCTGCACTGTCTTATTGGAAAGAACACTCTGTTCATACTTTCTAAAGAAAAGAAAAAGTGTAACATGCATAAATTATAACTAAAACATGGCAGGAAATGAACCACACTGGTTGCTCTGTAAGCATACCTCAATAGAGTGAGATTATGTCTAACAGGAAATATTCAATCAATGCCTCATTTACATGAGACGGATGTTGTCCACACATAAAACTCTGAATCTTTTCTGTTACAGGCATATATTTTTGATGCCTGGGGAAAAGAAGACTGAGAGATTATGTGATAGCCATCTTCAAGTATTTGAAGGGTTTTCACATGGAAGAAAGAGCATCTTGTTTTCTGTAGCTCCAGAGGGTAGGAGTTGAAGTACTGTAATGGATTCAAATTTAAGGGGGGGGGAAGGGTATTCTAAGTATCAGGAAGAACCTCTTCTGCCCACACCTAATCTCGTCGTATTCAAAAGGCTCCTCCAACTCACTGTGTAATTTTTTTCATCTTGATTTTGTTTTGTATTTTTTTTCCAGACAACTTATATTAAAGAATAAAAGCACGTAACTCCAACAATCTCCGATAACAGAAAATCTGTATATCTATACAGGATAGCAAACAACCCCCCAAATCTTGAGTTCTCAAGTAGCGAACCTTGTACATTAGTATTAGTAGCCATCAATGCACCATTCTACAAAGTTCAATGTGAGTTCAACAGAGGGGAGTTTTATTATCATGATTAACAGATACCATATTGTTTAAAACCTATCATTTGTCTGTGCATTCCTTGATTTCAAATTTGTTCCATTAAAGTTATGGTCCACGCATAAGAACACTAGACCATAATCTAGATTTCCAGTTGGGACTGGGAAGTTTGCTTCAACCAGCCAGACCAAACATGCCCATATCTGGATCCAACTTCACCTAGATACAAAATAGCTGCCCCCAGCACCTAGAGACAACACTGCATTCTCACCATGGAAAATTTGTGTCTCCTTCCTGAAATAGTTTCTCCAGTATTTTGGAGGAGTACTGATATAAATATGATATTGAAGGTTTTAAAAGAAATAAATAGACTTGTGTTTTGAAGTATTGAGTTAAAACTGCATATTACTTTGTGCAATATATGCCAATAAGTAGTTTGCATTACAGTGGATCTCAGCCATCAACCCTGTCATTGCTCACCATAGGTCTAGCTACCAGCTCAATATGACTGGATGTAAGAGTGCAAATATATACAATAAAATATAAAATTGATGCTGAGAGCCAATGAAACTATTCTGTATCCTTATTAGACATATATAAAATTATCAGTCTGACTAGATTTACTAATTGATAGAAAGATTGCTGTTTATATGGTTTACACATGCATATTGGATGACTAACATTACAACAGTATTTTAAAGATGCATGTATTAATGCATAGACTGAAATAGGCTTACTTGGACAATGCATTCAACTGTTCTTGCAGCAAATCTTTAACATTTTTATTTTCTGGATAATTTCTGCAAAGGAACATTAGGATTTAACAAGCAAATATTACCAGTTTGAGATTAAATATCCCACCTCTCAGCCAGTGCACAGCACACACCATGTAGTTATGCCTGACTTCAGAAAAACAAATAGTATTGAAGAATAGCAGTTCTGGCTTGGGGCCTCTAGATCTGATTGGAGACACCCTAGTCAACTTCATTTCAGATTAGTACTGGGCAGGGTGGACAAAATGAATGATTTTTAAAAATCAAATTTATTTGAATCACAGTTTAAATTAAAAAAACCATTCTTTTATTAAACTTTTCAAAAAAATTGATTTTTAAAAATCCAAATCATGATTTAAATCAAATCCACCCTGATACTGGGATATGAACTTCCGAAGGAAGCTCCTCACAACACCCATAATCTCCTTGCAAAGAGACGTCCAATGCACAAAATATTTTTCTCTGTAATGCAATGTTTGTGAGAGCCAACCATGTAAGCAGAAAAGTGAACTCTCAAAAAATCTCCAACACAGCAGACAAGAATCTGGGAATTCTATAGGTACATCTTAGGTTCCCCCACCTACAAATGAAACAGATTACAGTAACCTTTGTTCCTACATAATGAATTTTTACACTGAGCTAGTACCATTTGCACATCTCACCCAATACATTTCAGCAATAAGCAAAAATTGAAAGAGTGGTTTTGTTTTGTTTTGTTGCATTTTGCCAAAATCCAATGTTACATGGACAGATTGCTTGGGCAATGGGTGTTTCCCTTGCAGTACCTCAAGGATTGTGGCAGATTTGGAGGCTACACTGGAGGTGATGGGGATTTGTAAGCAGTGGGCGAAATCCAATATCAGTCGCAACTAATGTTGATCTACTGAAATAGAAATGAAGCTATATTTGTGAAGATTTTCAGCCATCCAGGTGAGGTTATCTGGAAGTTGAGTCAGATGAGGTTATCTGGAAGTTGAGTCACTGGACCTCTTTCTTATTAGGCTGAAATGTTTCATTACTCATTCAAGTAGCTTCTTCAGTCTGAGGAGAGTTGGTAGGAGATCCTTTATATATCCTCCACATTAGTTTCACTTCCCCCTGGTCTGAATAGGCTTGTTAGATGGACAAAAGACAGGGTTGTGTGTACCATCAAATGAGCGTACTTTGAAGGAACATTGCTGATTGTGGTCCTGAGTTGTTGTCCTTCCTGTGTTGGGCCAAGATGTACTCATTTTGGATTGAGAAGATAGGTGGTTTGAGAGAGAGGCCAGGGAGACCATATATGTACATATAGAAAATCCCTCACTCAACAGAGGTGGAGGCCTTAGATACAATCTGTCTCCTAGTTATCATGCTGCCCTTTCATCCATCCCCAGAAAGATCAGGACCACATCCACTAGAAAGATCACTGTTAACTTCTGTTAATGACCCATGACAATGGGTGGAGAAGGACTGCAGAACTGCAATTTTCACTCACCCCATCCTTTGTCCATCTAACAAGCCTATTCAGACCAGGGGGAAGTGAAACCAAGGAGGAGGATATATCAGGGGTCTCCTGCCAACTTTCCTCAGACTGAAGAAGCTACTTGGATGAAAAGTGAAATGTTTCAACCTAACATAGCAAAGCAAAGCGAAGTGTGCTGCTTATATACCACCCCACAGTCCTTCAAGCACTCTCTGGGCGGTTTACAAGTTAGTTATGCAGGCTTCACATTGCCCCCCAGCAAGCTGGGTACTCATTTTACCGACCTTGGAAGGATAGAAGACCGAGTCAACCTTGAGCCGCTACCTGGGATTGAACCCCAGGTCGAGAGCACAGTTTTGGCTTCAGTGCAGCAGTTTAACCACAGCATCATGAGGCGCAGTGGAATAAGAAAGACGTCCAGTTGTCATGACTCAATTTCTAGATGGAAATGAAGTTGTCTCTCACCACTCATTTCAACAAGTTTGTACCGTATCGGAGTAACAATGAACAACTCATTGTGACCACAGATAACTCTATAAAAACATATCTGTCTACAAATTTAAGCTCAGGGCACTCATTTATGCATGTGCAAGTACATTATCTCTCCTTCCTCTATCCTAGGCTATGAAAGACAAAAATGGTAGCACAGAAAGAAATGGGCCAGATCACTTTGTCCCCATCCAGTACTAGTTTCAGTCCCATCCATTGCTGACATGTCCCCAACGTCCGGTTAATATACATTCCTCTGACCTAAACCCTAAGTGTGTACATTGTAAAACTAGAAACCAGAATATTAAAAGGAGTCTTACACATCTGAAATATCCAGAGAATATTTATTATTCCAAGGCTGGTGCAGCAAGAATGCTTTTAAAGCTAAGGAAGCTCTTGGAACAAGAAGATATGGACACCACGCAGGTTCTACAAACAAAATAAGAGGAAGTGTAGGGAAGAAAAGCATACAGTCAATCTAAAACGATAATGAAAGAAGCACAGATAAAAACAAAGAAGACTAAGTATTCCTGCAACCTTTGTTTGTTTAATATGCAAGTACACTAGGACGGCTGTATCCATGGGGAATCAGTTTCGAACTCCCCTGCCCTGCTTCCTTCGTCTGAGTGGCCAGCTGCTAGAGGAGGTCAAGAAGGGAAGCCCAGGCTCCTGCCCATACTGGAAGATTGTGGGATAGGAGGGAAAGAGCAGTGCCCGCCAGCAGGTCGGGGGGCAGCAGGAGGAGAGGAGGACGGAGGGATTGTGCGACAGCTGTGCTGCTGCGCAAATGGGTCATGATTAAGGGACTCAAAGTATTTTGTGCCCATGTCTACTTATGAGTGCTCTATATCCTTAGGACTAGGTAAGAAGACCTCTCTCTTTTCAATACATAATACCTAAAATATAGTGTCTGGAATCCATGGAAGTAACCTCCTTCCTTTTTGGCACTTGTATTTCACAAATTTGGGGTTTAATATGGCTTTCTGCCTTTATAAGAAGCAAATAAACTTACTCTAGATCCTCTGCCTACATCTGAAATTTGCATTATTCTGGTAACATTTTTCTCTTTGTTTCAATGGGAAACACTCCTAATGTCTGCCATTTTAAGTATCACAAAATGCAGTCTAAAACAAAATAAGTAGTATTGCTACAGCCTTTCCATACCAGACAATTCTTGTTCGTCCATTCTAAAACATGCTGATTTCATTGTCATTTCTAGCACTCTGATGCATCCATCATCCGATGCTAAGATGACTTTATCTGAGGTACACCAGTCAACATCAAGTACTCGGAAAGTGACATTTCTTCCACTTCTTAAACTGCTTACCATCTGTACCTTAAAGATGCAACATATTTTAAAGTTTAGAAAGGCTACCACAATAAAAAAACAACGTATTTCTATGAACATTCATTGTTCCTGATCATTGAAATTATTTTTGCTACACATATGCTCTGCAATGTTTTTGTTGTTTTCTCCTATTGTAGTTTTTATTATCAGTCTTTACTACAAATTAGGGACTTTATTTTGTTCTGCATATATGTTAATATTTAATCACCAAAATCCTACACAATGAGAATGGCACAATTTTGATTAAAGACTTCTTTTTTTAGTTTTGGGGGGCATACAACTTTGTTTCCTTGACTGAAATATTTTTGCTTAGCATAGTAAATCATGCCAGAGTAGGTCCTGTAGAGATCTGGCGAGTCAACTACTCCATAAGTTCCATCAATTCAAATAAGCCTACTCTAGTTATGATTTGCTGCACTAAAGTACATCACAAACAGAATAGGCCTATTTGAATTAGTGGAACCTATGGAAGAATGACGACACAGAGCTATTATAATATTACGGAGGAGTTGATTCACCCCACTGATTCAATGGGCCTACTCTAGTGCAGCATGCTATGCTAAGCAACAGGATTTCAGCCATTGTGTGTGAGCTATGCACACCTGAAATCAGAAAAGGAGGTCTTTAGTCAGCAGCAATCTGCCACTGAGGATGACATCATTCCCAATGTATGAGCAGAGCTATGGAACAGGATATTGGGCATGATTTAGCTCCTTAGTACCAACCATGTATATTGCCTGTAAACACAATTAAACATAGTTTGAATCTCATAATTTACAACAAATTCAGGAAAGCAAAGCAAAATTGTTTTATTACCTCCTTGGTATCCCAGACTTCAGCCCCATCATTGTACATTGCTATCAGCTTTTGGTTTCCTTTCCCAGGTGCAAAGCGTATCTTCCTTACCCATCCTCGGTGTGTTGGAATGCCTCTGGAATGACATGAATATTACACACTTTCCGTGAAAAGTGTGTGTGCTGGTATCACACAGAGTGAAGAAGACCGTCTACACAGAAGTGGATTATTTTAAAAAGCTTAAGAAAAGGAAAATTAATAAATTAATACAATTGATTCAATAGGCTAACTCCACACACACACACACACACACACAGAGAGAGAGAGAGAGAGAGAGAGAGAGAGAGAGACTTTTCTTTATCAAACTTTTGCTTTATGTTTGATGGGCAGAATCATTGTAGGTCTGACCCAAAACAGAACTAAAACATATACAGACACAGAATCTTCCTTTGCAAAGTTTCTGTGATCAGCTTTCAGTAGCCACATACTGTCTTCAGATGAATGTGCAAAACTAGACCAAATCGTGTGTGTGTATGTGTGTGAGTTTTTATATATACAGAATATATAAAACTGCATTCTATAAACTGTTATAGACTGCATTTTGTAAAATGGTAGCTATTCTCATTGTGTAGAATTTTGGCGATTTATATATATCCCAGGCATGGGATAGGTTGGAATGTCTCTTAAAGCATATAGGGTGAGTTGGCTCAAATCCATATGCTTTTTATTCAGGCACAGAATAGGTTGGGGGCTTCCACACAGCCCAGGTTTTCAGTGTCAATTCAGACAAACCTATTTGCTATACAGACTGATGCTGTTGGAAGCTGACCTCTGAATAGAATTCACCCTGCACCTAAGTCATGTATGAACTGGACCCAAATAGAAATGTACCTGGATACTCTGGCTTTTAAATCCCAGAAGTTCAAATTTCCATCAACATCTCCCAGAACCAAAATGTCTCCTTTCCATGCAATACATGTAATACTGCCCATACTTCCCTACAAGGATTTCAAAAGCGGAGATTAAAAACACCACAAAACCAAACAGAAGTACATAGTTATGTATATAAAATAGATACAATTCCAAAAGCCACCCAAGTATTGTCCAGACTGAAACAGCTCTCCCTCTCACATGACCCACCTAACATTGCTCAGGAGGGATGTCTTCTCTTGAACTGTGGGGCCATGAAAGATTAAAAAATAATAATAAAGAGAGCTGCAAGTAATTTGTTTGCTTGAAAAAAAAATCTTGTTGCTGCTTCAAAAGTGGAGCTGGAATAAACAGTAGCTCAGTGGTACTCTTTAATGGAGAAGAATGGTCTAAATCACTGGTTCTTAACCTTGGGTTACTCAGGTGTTTTTGGACTGCAGCTCCCAGAAGCCTTCACCACCAGCTGTGCTGGCTGGGGGTTCTGGGAGTTGCAGTTCAAAAACACCTGAGTAACCCAAGGTTAAGAACCACTGGTCTAAATGGAATAATGCTAGAATTAGAGATGACCTAATAGAAGCTACAGGGATACTATCCAACCTGTAGAGCTGCAGAAGATAGCTAAAAACTCATGTATGAACCTACTATAACACAGTCCTTATAAAGTATACAGTGATTAAGAGGGGTGGTATAAAAATTGTAGCCCTGGAAATTTAAGATGCAATCACAAAATGGTAGTTTGAATAGCAATGCACTTTCAGTTGGAGGTTACTTCTGGGCAAACAGAGGACTCAATGTATAAGACGACCCCCCCTTTTTTAACCCCAAATTAGAAAAAGCAGGGATCAAAGGGCTCCCTTTTTTCTAAGACCTGTGCCTTAGCAAAAGGCAAGGAAAGCGGATGTCAAAGTGACTGCCGCTTTTCCTTGCTTTTTGAGAAGACACGGTACTTAGCAAAAAGGAAGAGAGAAACGCATCCCCTTCCCTTTTGCTAAGCCCTGTGCTTTCGCAAAAGGCAGCGGTAAATAGCTGCCTTCTGTATATAAAATTACCCTCAATTTTTTTCTCAAATTATTTAAGGAAAAAGTGGTGTTTTATACACAGAACAATATGGTAATTTCTCATGATTAGCAACATACAGATAAAAGGCTACTGGCTCCACAAAATACATTATAATTCAATAGAGCTTGCAACGTTAATGGATCCCATAGAGAATTAATGTAGTTTTGCTACTAGAGTGAAGCCACTGGAAAACAACTTTATCTCCAATTTAATAGCAAAATCAGACTTCATATTTGCAAAACAACCTATCAATTTTTTTGGCAGCACTAGCCAGCTCATACTATTTAATCTGCCAGAGCAGCTGTCAGCTGACTGAATGGTTTTGTGCCTTATTTCTTTAATGTGCCCACACAATGAAATATACTGTATATATATAAATACACTGAGTGTAAAAGAGTGAAATGGTTAAGAAGAAGAATGAAATAGGCAGAAGACACAGCAGCACAGAGACAAACCATTGAGATAATGGATTTCTCTCCATAGATTCAAATTGGTAAATGGTTGGCTTGGCTGAGAGATGACTTTGTTTAATAATTTTCTCGTGTGTCTGGATATGCTAAAAGGCTAAGTTATATAACCTTTATATGTATTTTACTTCTAAAATCTTTGGTTTTTTAAGAGATGTGCCTTCACAGCCTATAAGTACTTGTATTTGTGGATTGAAATGTGACTGAAGTTTTTGCCTACAATTTTTATACTAAAAACTTATAATTCAAATATTTTTCTGACTTAAGCATTTGCCTGTGACTTAGATTCAATCTTTATATATTTATAAGAATTTATACTACAAGTCCCAGAAAGTTCGGCCAGCACAGCTTCTGGGAATTATAACCCAAGAACACCTAGTTTACTCAAGGCTGGGAACCACTGGTCTACAGGAAGATTTTATTTCATAATGGGTGGAACAGTGGCTTATTTCAGCTTCTGATGAGGGATGAAATATTTGAACAATGAAACAATTTATATATTGATATCCAGATGAAATCTGAGGTAATTTAAAAGGTTATCAGGTCTTACACTTGAATTAACCCTTTCAATGATGAATGTCAACTGTGATGGACTGCAGACTCAAATTACCAAGGAGTGTTATTAAGTTTTATAGTGCTTTGTGTTCAAGTGTCATATCTTTGACCTTGATAAATTCAATAAGCATGATATTGTGACACTTAATTTTTCTCATGATACTCTGGCACTTCATGTGATAAGTGGTTCAATCCCAAGGTGTGGAAACTGAACTCTGTATCATGATCTGAAGTTGGCTAGAGCAGAACTGACAGCAAAACTGTTAGCATTAAAAGTTACATACCAACGCAATCCCTAAATTGTTGGATTGCTGTAATTAGCTCTATATGGAGCTGCTTTTGGAAAATGTTCAAAAACTTTGATGGTCCAAACTGCTGTCACCAGATTGCTTGTCAGAGCTAGTTAAAGGGATCAAAGAACACTCCTGTTGCAACAGCTCTACTGGCTGCCATTCTGTTTCTGGGAAATATTCAGAGTGTTGGCTTTGATTTTTAAAGTTCTACGTGACTTGGGTCCAAGGTATTTTAAAGACCACATCTCCTTTTATGGGCCTGCCTGGATTTTAAAATCATCGAGAAGGACCTCTTCTCCATCTCACCACTTCACAGGTGAACTTGGTGAGGACACAAGAGAAGGCCTTTTCTGCTGATACTCCCCAGCTGCAGATCCCCCTTGCACGGGAGGTCAGGCTGATGCCTCCTTTGTACTCCTCCCACAGGCAGGCAAAAATCTTTCTCTTCAGGCAGGCTTTTTCTCAATAACTGTATGCCTAAGAAGGGTGCTGCTGGGTTCTTCCTCTCTCTTCTTCCAGTTTTTATATTATTTGTAAGCCACATTTGGTCCTCTCAAGGAGAAAGGTAGGGTATAAATATTTTGAATTAATAATAAATAATAATAAATAACAGACCTAAGACTTCACCTATGGAGTCCTTAGGCAAGTATTTGACACCTATTGTCTCCTGTAAGGGTGAATCTGCTGTTCAGGACAGGGCAACAGCATAAAAAAGGGAAAATAAATATAAAGAAAGCATTGACAGAAACCATTCAGAGTTGTATAGACTGATTAAGAAAGCAAATATTTCTACAACTTACCAACTTTTTGCTCAGTATTACTGAAGTAGATGATTTGAGGGGAAGCAAGAGATGTATGCAGTATGAATAGACACAGAAGGGGGTTTAAAATAGGTATTGTCTCTGTTTGTATTGTAAGACATTTAATAAAATTCTGTAAAATATACATTTAAAAAAGAAAAAAAAGTAATGTTGAACTTACATCAGGAGGAATTCTTGCACTGTCTTTGACAGAATTTCCCTCAACAGTCAAGTGATAGACTTGTCCATCAGTGTCTGTAAACACAAAATGCTCTCGAGCAGAAATGTTTTGACTCAGTTCAGATTTACTCTCAGCTTCCTGCAATAAGCTTTGGAAGATAAAGCAAGAGATGGTTTTCTTTTCAAGACTTAGGAGGCTTAGGTTCACTCGACTTACAGGTATACAACCTGTACACAAACACATCATATATGCAACTAGGATAAGAGGCATTTTCTTAAGAAAAGCAACAGACATGCAAATTCAATTAATTTACAGAACAAAAAATTCAAGAAAACCTCTCAGAAGAGAAAGTAACTGTCCTCCCTTCCTTGTCCCTAAGTCCAAACGCACCACTTAAATACAGAAAATGCAATAACTATGAACAGTGAGGCCAGGGATCCATGTCTGAGTGGACAGACATCCACTATGTAAGAGACAAACACTATGCACATAGTGGGCATTGTATGTCAAAAACATCAGGAGGGCCACAGCGGCCAAGACCTGACTGAAATGCTGGTACTCAGATTTGGGCAGAAACAACCCCAGCATTTAAATGAATGTGAAAGATTTCCATTGGAAAAAAGTAGTATTGAAAAACAGTTGAGAATCCTCTATAAAGAAGCAAAATGTAACCTGAGATAGAAATAGATTTACCTCCATGCATTTCAAATTTACAATAAGAAAGCTAATGGAGAATAATTCAAGGAAACACTCAGTGGGAAAAAATCCCACCAACAAATTGAATGGTGCCAATACCTGATTACTGAAGATTCCAGACTGCTCTGTTCTGTATCTGACACCACTGTTTGCCGAGCCATAGCTTCACGGGCTGCAAGCTGTTTCTTTCTTAAGCTCTTAAGATTATGAGAAGGCGACCATTCCTGAGAGAACAGAAGTTATAACCTGTTAGGTTGGAGGAGTCTGCTTACTCTACCCATATGTATCTGTATGAGAAAGTGTTATAAAATACACCAATATATTAATCAGATTCCATTTCCTTTTCATCTGTTTGCACGAAGAGAAACAAAGTGAGGGGAAGAATTCTGTGTTAGAAAATATACATCCCTTTATTCCAGAGGCAGGTATGTTATGCATTAGTCAGCTACTATTTACATGTCTGACGAGAAGCTAGTAGAATTAATTCCTTACCAAAGCAGTAATTGTAGGAAAGTTCTTTGACATTTCCCTGAGAAGAGTGCATGTCCTGATATCCCATAATTCCAAAGGTTTGTCTTTAAATACAACAGCCAAATATTGCCTATAGTAAAGTAAATAGGTAAAATAAGACATTTCCCACGTTAAAAATATTTAAGAGTGGTCTGTAAATCCTGTTGAATTCATGAGAGCTGCGTGGAGCATAGTATTTTTGCAGAAAGAAGGAAACTTAGGGAGGCACTGACTCACCAAATCCCCACTGATTCAATAGGGCAACTCTAGTTGCAGTTAACTAATGGATTCTACCTATTTAACAGTACCCTATTTGTGGACTCACCAAATCCCCACTGATTCAATAATGGAGAATTAGTGCAGGGAAATCGCCCCAGAGGGAGACCACAGCTGCGATACAAGGACATCTGCAAGCCTGATCTGAAGGCCTTAGGAATAGACCTCAACAGATGGGAAACTCTGACATCTGAGCGTTCAGCCTGGAGGTAGGCGTTGCATCACGGCTTCTCCCAATTTGAAGAGACCCTTGTCCAGCAGGCCGAGGCAAAGAGGAAGTCACAAAAGCAGCAAAACAAGGGAGCTGGACAGGGGACAGATTGGATTTGTCTTCAGTGTGGAAGGGATTGTCACTCTCGAATTGGCCTTCTCAGCCACACTAGATGCTGTTCCATGTCCTCCATACAGGGCACGATACCATAGTCTCTCGAGACTGAAGTATGCCTACTATTTGTGGAAATTAGCTGGTTGGCATCAAAGTTGTTCTCTTTTTTGTTGCCATGCAGACACATTTTTATTTCTTCTGCCATTTAATGTATTAATGACTTGTGTTAAAAATTAGTATAGTACCATCATAATATAACTGAAAACATGACAAAACAATTACTGCTTATGTTTTAACAGTATTTCACATTGTGGGATGTGCATTTAAGTAAATTAATATTTAGTAAACTCAGCAGTTTGGGCACAGGAGGTTGCATCTCAAGAGTAGACATATTTCATAAAACATTTAAAAATATAATTATAAATGATATGTAGTTATAGATAGGTAAAGGTAAAGGTTCCCCTTGACAATTTTTTGTCCAGTCGTGTCCGACTCTAGGGGGCGGCGCTCATCCCGCTCTTCAAGCCATAGAGCCAGCGTTTGTCCGAAGACAATCTTTCCGTGGTCACATGGCCAGTGTGATTTAGACACGGAACGCTGTTTACCTTCCCACCGAGGTGGTCCCTATTTATCTACTCGCATTTGCATGCTTTCGAACCACTAGGTTGGCGGGAGGTAGTTATAGATATTAAAGCAGAATTTGAAAAGCTAACTCAGACTTTGTAAGAACATAACAGCATTCATGATTCCAAGTTACTATGCATTTCAGATCATTAGCATTTGCCTATTAACTACAAGTCTGAGAAATTCAGTATTTTCAAACATTTTATGTTTCTTGATTTATTTTATATATTATTAGTTTGGGGAGAAGAATGAAAGACATGAGATAGTTGCATCAGCTGTTACATGTAATTCCAACCTTGAACTTAGCTAGTCTCCCACCAGTGCAATCAGAAGCTCACAGTAATTGATTGTGAAATTCTGGTAGAAACATGAAGCAGGAAGATAGTATATAATAGGGATAACACAACACTAGGAACACCCTTTCCCCAGTGGATACACTGTATCTGATTAGCTTGGCAAGCTTTTGTTTATATGTGTTTACAAAAAATAAACGTTATGTCAAATCAACTTTTGCCTATACAAAGCCCTGTATATACTGTGTTTTCCCATGTATGAGACTATACTTTTGTCTAAAATCTTTAGACAAAAAAATTAAGGGTCATCTTATATACAGAAGTAAGCTGAGGAGAGAACAGAAACAAGTGGAGGGGAAAGCAGGGATCAAGTGATCCTGCAGGGCTTTGATGCCTGCTTTAGCATTCCACTTGCTAAGCCTTAATGAAAGGAAAGCAGGGATCAAAGCACTGAAGGATCACTTTGATCCCTGCTTTCCCCTCTGCTTGCTAAATCCCATAGGGGTTAGCAAAAGGAGGGGGGAAGGATCAAAGCAATTCCTTGGATGTATAAGGGGGAAAGGGATCAAAATGATCATGCAGTTGCAGGATTGCTTTGATCCCTTTCTCCCTCCTTTTGCTAAGCCCTGCGGGGCTTAGCACGAAGGGAGAAAGCAGGGATCAAAGCGATCCTGCAGCACTTTGATCCCTTTCCCCCTACACTTGCTAAGCCCCACTTAGATTTCTTAATTTTCTTATATATGGGGGCATCTTATACATGGGAAAATACAGCAAATATTGTAGTTGGCCATAGTAGACTTACGAACATAAAAAACAATAGAACACATCAGGTTTTCTACATGGCTCTGCTTACTTCAAGTGGGACACTTTTATCATTTCAATGGCTGGTTCATCACTGCCTCGTTCCCCACGAAATGCAATGCTTCTACCTAAAACACAAAAGGTACGGAACAGATGTAAATTACATTCAAAACCATGATAATTTACCTGTTGAATCCTGTGGGTCATTTCCCACCCCACAAAGATTCTACCATAGCAGAAACAATACTTTCAATATTGTTACATGTCCACAAATCTTTCTGTTCCACTTGCTGAACCTGTGAAGAAGCTGCTCCACAACCCACTATTTCTCCACTATTTCTCCATTAATCTAGGTGTTGATAGCAAACACTGGCACAACAGACTGAAAACCTACAAAACCTCTTGTTCTTTCTCTGCTTTCGCAACATTGGATACAACTATTTCTTTGCTCACCCCACCTTACAGTTTGTTTTCTAAGGTCCAACTTGCATAGTCAGACTTTGGCTTCACAAAGATACCGTATTTTTCGGTATATAAAACAACACTTTTTTCCTTAAATAATTAGAGAAAAAAAATGAGGGTCATTTTATACATGGAAGGCAGCCACTTTCCCTGCCTTTTGTGAAGCCACAAGACTTAGCAAAAAGGAAGGGAAGGCTCCTTTCAGATAAAGCAGCTATGAAAGGGCTGCACCATCACAGCCCTTTGATCCTGAAGCCGTTTCATGGCTGCTTCAAACAGCTGCAATTGTGTAGCCTTTACCTGAAGGGAGCCTTCTCTTCCATTTGCTAAGCCCCATGGCTTCGCAAAAGGCAAGGAAAAGTGGCGGTCAAAGGGAGCCCTTTGATTCATGCTTTTCCCTTCCTTTTGCTAAGCCCCATGGCTTAACAAAAGGAAGGGAAAAGCAGGGATTCAGTTTTCTAATTTGGCGTTAAAGAAGGGGGGATCGTCTTATACCAGGGTCATCTTATAAACAGAAAAATATGGTAGCTTTCTGCGTTATGAGCACTGCCCGCATTGGCATGTTGGCCCAAATTCTCTTGTTTAGCTATGCAAATGGTATAACATGTCGAGGCAAGTCGTCTCAGATTTGGATATCATTGTACACATTATCAGTTGCACGTTGAGTCATATAACTCAGTATGCAATTGACAACGTTTGTGGCATTTTCTTAATATGGGGCAGCTGGCCTTCAAAGATAACACCATTTGGGCCACCCCAATGCAAGAGGATTTTGCCCATGGAAAATAAGGTCTTATTGACATCTGGGCTCAAAAACATTCCACTGTATACACTTTCCCTCCCTCCTTTCCACAAGACTTCCAATTTTAATGATATTTCAGCATTTAAGTCTTTTGGACAGAAAACTAATCTCTTACTGATGTTGTTTTAATTCAGTTCACCACTAACCAATTAGAACTCAATATGAAGAGTATCCAAGAGAACTGCAGCAGTAATTAGATTACTAAACTAGTGCTGAATTTGTTTTCCCATACAAAATAAATAAAATGTACATAATTTTAATGGTATTCAATCTTTTGCTGACATCTTCTCAATTACGCCCTGAAGATGATTTGCTAAATCTTCAGTGGACTTGCTAAGCTATGATTATCTAAAATGTTCCAAATTTTGATTTCAAGAAAACTATACTAGCTATGTTAAAATATTCCACATCTAAAAAATGTATTAAACATAAAGTGAACAGATAAGACTGAATATAAGTCAGCACTGCAAAACTATCAGTTCTCATCCATAATGTCTCAACAGCCATGTATGTAATTTACCTGTGGGAAGATCAACCAACTGCAGCTCATTTCTGACTAGCCCCAGATTATTCGGTGTTGATGTGGCAAATGAAAGGAAGCCACTCAAGCTTGTCCACTCAATGCCCCTGCCAAAAAATATACAGAGCAAATTACAAAAACTGTCTGAATTTGTGGGATGTGCTGCAACTTAATGTACTAACTGTTCCTTCAACTTTGGCATGCTTCCTGTTTTGTGCCCATTCTCACGTCAGTTGCAAGATCAGTCATGCAACAGGGAGTATGTCAGAGCAGAGGGGGAACTCTGTATTTAGGCAACAGGCTACTGGCCAGAAACTGAATCAAACATTCATAGATTCTTCCCAGTAAAGAATTCCCATTTTAGCTCATAGAAAAATAAAAATATCAGGCATAATATTTTCAGTATTATTTCCAGCTATGAAATTTCACACATACAGTAGTGTCTCGACTTACAAACGTCCCAACATACAACCATTTTGAGTTACGACCAGCTCCGGCCGCAAAATTTGGCTTCTACTTGTGAATGGAGCTTCAAGTTAGAACTAGAAAAAGGCAGGGGGAAAAGGTGAGGAATTCAAATTGCTAACCGTTGGTGGCGAAGAGGCTGCTTCTTTGTAGCTCTTTTGCCCTAGCAGTTAGAGAGGAGGCGGCTTCGGACTGCCTGGTAAGGTGCTTCTTTCTACTTTTAAAAAAATTGTTCTTGGTGTTTTTGCAGTGTGGTTTGGGGCTGTGTGGTGGGATTATGTTTCTATGCTGTCATGGGTCTTGCGAGGTTTGTTTGTTTTTTGAGTTTTCCTCCCCATTTCTCATGGGTATTGCAGGTTCTGTTTGTTTTTTGGTTTTTTTCCCCATTTCCGATGGGCCTCGCAGGGTCTGTTTGTTTTTTGGAGTTTTTTCCCCATTTCCGATGGGCCTTGCAGGGTTTGTTTGCTTTTTGCTTTGCTTTCTTTCCATTTCCAAAAGGTCTTGCACGGTTTGTTTGCTTTTTGCTTTGCTTTCTTTCCATTTCCAAAAGGTCTTGCACGGTTTGTTTGCTTTTTGCTTTGCTTTCTTTCCATTTCCAAAAGGTCTTGCACGGTTTGTTTGCTTTTTGCTTTGCTTTCTTTCCATTTCCAAAAGGTCTTGCACGGTTTGTTTGCTTTTCTTTCCCCTCCCCCCTTAGCTGGAATAAATAAATCACGTTTCCGATGGGCCTTGCAGTGTTTGGGGGGGGGGAGGTTGGGGATGAATTTTTTCTTCGGCCGGAATTAATCCATTCCATTGCTTTTCAATGCATTCTTATGGGAAATGGTGCTTCGACTTACGACCATTTCAAGACATGACTGGAGTTCCGGAACCAATTAGTGGTGCCTCACTTAACGATTGCCCCGCATTATGACGAAATAGCTGTACACTGCAATTGCAATCGCAAAACAATGGTCTAAATAGGGTTTTTTCGCTTTGCGATGATCAGTTTCCTGCTTCGGGAACCGATTCTTCGCAAAATGATATTTTTTAAGGGATGGATTTCTCGATATACAGGCAGCGAAAATGACTGCCGTATGGAGGATCTTCGCTGTACAGTGAGTTTTTACCCCATTGGAACGCATTGAACAGGTTTCAATGCGTTTCAATGGGGTTTTAAATTTCGTTTTATGATGTTTTGGCTTAACAGCGATTTTCCTGGAACAGCTTATCGTCGTTAAGTGAGGCACCACTGTAAGTTCATAAATCAAGGCACCACTGTACTTTCATTTTCTCAATATCACTCTTCTTCCATAAAAATGATTTTTAAAAAAATTTTATATGCCATGGAGAAACTCCAAAGAGTTAAGGAGTATTCGAGAATTTTAATTTAATTTAAAACCCTGGATGTTCAAAATGTTTTAAGTACTTTTGAGATATCATGGATGGACAACTTGAAAAAGCCAAGCTGGAATATCAATTATTAAACAGAGGAGATGAAAGCATAACTGTGCATAATATTATGCATATAACATTGTGTAAAGCTCTGGTGGGGCTTTAATGAAATAAAGCATTTTAAGTGGTTTTAAAATGAACATTTATGAAATATTAACACTGGTATTTAAGCTTTGCATGTTATAATAAAAGTAAGTCAAGCTTCAGAAGACTAAAAAGTCTGAACAAAATACCAGGCTTACAGTCCCACTGGCATTTAAAAGATGAGAGAGGAAGGAAATTATATGATGATTAAAAGGAATAATTTTCTCTACTGACTATGACATGGAATTCAAATCCTCTATGGGACACTGGATTTTCCTGATCATCCACATCTACAGAAAGCCCTGTATTCCACCACTTGTTTTTGACATCCTTAGCAGGGATACAAGCCAAACACTAATTTGGTCTGCTGTCATGTTGAATTGCATAAAATATTTCCAGGCGTCTTGCAATTATTGAGACTGAAAAAATATTAGTTGCAACCACTCTTGATTCATACCACATTACTGAGAAATCATGGATAGTTCTAAATACAGAAGATCATCATCAAGTAGGAAGCAAAGACTAGTGATCCACTTAGCTTTTCATGTCTGTATGACTGTGGAAATCCCTCTCATTCCAACTTTGAAATACTGTATAACCACATATATTAGAATTTGGCAATTATATAAAGACAGCCAATGAATTTCATATGCATAGCAAAGTCCAGTATATACTGTCCCTCAATGAACCATGGGAAGACAGTCATTGTCTGAGAAGGGTAGAGACATGTAACTTCCCTACCTTTAGCAAAGGTATGATAAAGCAATAAAATACTCAAACTTCTTTCTGAAGGAATATCAAAGTGAAATCCTTAGAAAGGAATTTCAAAGGAACTTCCTGGGAAAGAGAGTTCGAAGGAATACCTATTTAAACAGGGAGCCTACCAATTTAAATTACTCATTTTATGGCACTTTGTGTGTTCTATCTTTGGTTCTGCGGACTATCCTTACGTGCACTGTGTCATGTCTACAGCTGTACCTACAGGCCAGTATGAATAAATGTTTTCCCAAACTTTCAATATGCCTCATTACATTTTTTTAAAGAGAAAAGTTCTCCACATGACCTGATTATCTAGTTGAACATTTCTGAACTGCTTCACCAGCCAAACAAGCCTAAAAGCCTCCAGAAGAGTTTACAAAGATAATTAAGAAGACAATCCCTGCACAATCTAAAAAGAAAACATAAAATGAAAGAGAACAGAAGGGAAAGAGGAAAAGAAGCAAATTGAAGCATAGGTTCTTTGTCACTGTTTCTCAGTGATGCAGTTTTTACAATAATCAAATGGGGAACATGTCATTCAAGGAAATGAGGGGTCAAAACTTTCTAGCTTCTTAGTAAAGCTGATGGAGCATCACTGGCAAAATAATTTACAATGAAACATACCTCTTGATTCATCCAAAACGCATGTGCTGGATAAACCATAATTCTGCATCCTCATGCATTTCTACATTAATAAATAAGCAGCTCCAGGAATATAGGATCAGGAAAAGAGAAGAGGCAGTTCTGAAGGACTGTAACCCTACACATAACCTGATACCCAGCACAACAGAAAAAGATACAGGCCATAAACTTTTTCCTGAAGGGAAAGATTAAGCAGCCTGTCACATAAACAATCTCCCAAGAGGTCCTTCATCCTAAACTCTCATAGTTGCTTGGGGGCCGGTGTGTGTGCGTTGTTAACATAAAAAAAAAACAATACTGAAAATACCCCCCTCACATAGTTCGGCCCTTATGAATACGGACAGAATACTACTTGTGTTAGACAGGATTCTCTATGCTGCAGCATTAAACAGAAAACAAGTGCTTATATTCAGACTTGAACAAAAGACATTTCTGTTGCCAATTCAAATATTTATGAGGCCAAATTTTCACAAACAATCAATATTTTCACAGAATTACCAGGGCAAATAATCTTTCTGCAGTCTACTTATGATTAAGCCCAATTCTTTCAGAATATATTAACATTTTTAATTTTCTTTTCTCCAACAATTAAAAAGAACTTACTTGACTTCACAGGAATGAATGCTCAACTCTTTATGTAGAAATCCACTGGTAAGGTTATACACCAAGACTGAGCCATTGCTTGTTCCTGCAAAGAAAGATCCGTATATTTATAAATGTTCCAGAAATAAATGTTTTTATTATGACATTGGGAAACACCTGGTAGAATTTTTTCCTCCATAGAGTTTGTTTTGTTTATTGATACCCTTTTTCCTCCATAGAGTTTGTTTTGTTTACTGATACCCAAGTAGAGATGTAAAATTAAAAAAAAAAAATCCATTCCTAGAAAAAACTTGGGAAAATGTTGTTTTCTGGAAAAATGGAACTTTTCAGAAATTTTACATCTCTACATCCAAGTGATAAATCGGCCACTAGCCTTATTTTAGATCAACCGCAACAAAACTAATCCATTGTGAAAATCTCTAAGCTAGACTTTTCTTTAAAAACTCCCCTGGTTGTTACATGTGTCAAAGAATTACAGGCAGCAGAGCACACAGATTTCTGAGAAGGCTCATTCCACTCCCTCCTCTACCAGCCTGCAGCCTTCCAGCCGGACAGTGATGAAAAAGGTTTAACTCTTGACTGTGCAAGATACTGGCAGATGAGGAACAGACTGCCCCACTCCACTTCCATGAGACTCCTTGGTTTCCACGTAGCTTCAAATGAAGTACTTTTACTTGTACTTCTGTGTCTAGTACCAAAACACAACAGACTGGCTGAGAAGAAGCCATTAGAAAGCATTATTTTTATTAGCCTCTTAAGAAGTTAGCAGCCTTGCCTGTAGTCAAAGTATACTTATCTGGTTTGCTCTCCTCCACAGCTCTTAGTCTTAGAAGACTAGTAGGGGTTTTGCCCCGGGATAGCGAGTTTTACAGGATTATTTAGGAAGCTGGAGCAAATGGCAGGTATCTAGGTGTTTATGATAGAAGACACTCCCATTTTATATGGAAAAAAATAGAGATATTTTAAAAGTATGTCAAGGATCAGGAAAATAAATAATTAATTCTCTATCCTGATATGGTTGGTCACAGCAAGCAGTCTGTAGTCTGTCACATTCTAACCACAATCAATCACAGCAAGGGTGGCCAACATTCAAAGATGATGGGATATGTACTCTAAAATTTTATGTAGGGGCACAGGGTCCTTACAGCATTTAAGTTTCAGCCATACTCTTTAGGAGTATGATTTCAATTCAGCTGTCATAACATTATTTGCGTTGGATGCCTGTATCTTAGTCCATTATTCAAACTATTTCAAGAATACAGTCTACTAAACCCAAGAAACAGGCGGCCAACATTTTGGAGTCAGAGTTAAGCAGGTATTTGGCTGGGGATATTTTAACTTGCTGCATTTTCAGAATTGTATCTCTTTAATATGTAGAAAAATGCATTTTTCATAACCGTAATTCTTTGGTTTAGAATGCCAAATAAATATATGGCAAGAATATCCTAAAAGTGGGAGAACATGTGCAAAGACATTTCCTTAAGAGGATAATTTCTAACCTCTGTTTGAAGTAAAAGTAAAGGTTCCCCTCGACAATTTTTGTCCAGTCGTGTTCTACTCTAGGGGGCAGTGCTCATCCCCGTTTCCAAGCCACAGAGCCAGCGTTTTGTCCGAAGACAATCTTCCGTGGTCACATGGCCAGTGTGACTTAGACACGGAACACTGTTACCTTCCCACCGAGGTGGTCCCTATTGATCTACTTGCATTTGCATGGTTTCGAACCGCTAGGTTGGCGGGAGCTGGGACAAGCGACGGGAGCTCACTCTGTCGCGTAGATTCGATCTTACGACTGCTGGTCTTCTGAACCTGCAGCACAGGCTTCTGAAGTCACTCTTTATTTTGAAAAACTACTTAAAGGCTATAGCAGCCAAGTGACATGCTACTGCAAAACAGACATAGTCTCTGAGGCTGCACTCTGTTCACTGCATATACTTCTAGTTACAAAGGCTCAAACTGGAAAAAAATGTGCTGAACTTTACTGTTTAAGATACTTACCAATTGCAAGGAGTGGCTGATACTGCTTTATGTTTTTTGTTGTAAGAGGCGGACACATACGGATAGCAAATGGGGGCAAAGGAAGTCCGGAAAGCAGCCCTGTTAGCAGGAATTTCAAATGTACTTCTTGTGTACTATAGCCTCTTAGCTGCTCTTCTGTAGAAAGCATGCCTTGCCCTGTTTTATCGCAAAACAGATGAAGAAAAATAATTTCATTCATGATCTTTAATGTTCTGAAAACACTATTGTCAATACATTTAACAAGCATTGATTCACCTCAATTAATTCAATTAGTTAAGAGGGATTGACTCTTCCACACTGATGCTAGCGAGCAACAACTCTCAATTCATTTCAATGGAACTATTTGTATACTCCTTCTGCTTCCATATGCCAAATGAATTTTTTAAACAAAACCACACACAAAGCACAACTCTTTTTAATTCATTCTTTTTGACCCATGTGTGATCTGTATTAGTCAACATTTCAAGTTACTCTCTTTAACAGACAGTATTTTTCTGGCACAGACGCTCTTACCTATCATATTATCTAGCGATAGGTCTGGAAGCTTATTCTGAGATACTGCCACAGGAATTCCACAGAATGACATGGGTGAATACAAAGGTGATGTGCTTGAATTGCTGCAAGTGGTAAAAAACAAGATTTGAGCCTGTAACATTCCATTATATTTAGGATAAACAACAATTGCAATTCAGGACAAATTATGTATTAGAAACACTGGGTTCCTGTAGAAACACTTGATTCTTAGAGGTTGGTGTCAAAGGGGATAGGAAGCAGATTTAGTTTGCACCATGATCATGTGACTGGTTGTACTCTTTTATTATCTCGCAAGTACATGACACGGATGACCTTCATTTGTGTGGGAAGGAGTAAAACAGCACATTAGGGCACAAGTGTAATAAATATGAAACTTGCTCTTTGCACACGTGGCCAGTAATCTGATAAGAACACTATAAATCATTTAAGGTAAACAGTGGATTGGTGCCACTTAAAATATTTATAGTAAAATTTATCAATTCTTTCCTGCATTTTACCTTAATTTTGTGTTGCTCTAGAAATGAGTCGGTGATGGAAATAAAAATCTGATTTGTGAGCAACCTGAAATAGCAATAGTATCTCAATTTCTGAATGACCAGCCATACTGAATAAAGCTGGAACACCAGAAGATACATTCATATCCAGAGACAAAAGAAGCTGTCAAACAGGGGATGGTAAGAATAAACATTGACATCCTGTATGTCAGTGACCGAAAATGGATGGGAATGGGCGAATTCAATTCAGACAATTATATCTACTATTGAGGGCAAGAATCCCGTAGAAGAAATGGAGTAGCCCTCATAGTCAACAAAAGAGTAGGAAACGCTATACTGGGATACAATCTCAAAAAGGATAGAATTATATCAAACCAAATCCAAGGCAGACCTTTCAACATCACAATCATCCAAGTTTATGCACCAACCACCAATGCTGAAGAGGCTGAAATTGACCAATTCTATGAAGACTTACAACACCTTCTAGAACTGACACAAAAAACCATGGTCTTATTATAGGGGACTGGAATGCTAAAGTAGGGAGTCAAGAGATAAAAGGAACAACAGGGTAGTTTGGCCTTGGAGTTCAAAATGAAGCAGGGCAAAGGCTAATAGTGTTTTGTCAAGAGAACAAGCTGGTCATCACAAACACTCTTTTCCAACAACACAAGAGACGACTCTACACATGGACATCACCAGATAGGCAATACTGAAATCAGATTGATTATGTTCTCTGCAGCCAACAATGGAGAAGCTTTATACAGTCAGCAAAAACAAGACCTGGAGCTGATTGTGGCTCTGATCATCAGCTTCTTATAGCAAAACTCAAGCTTAAACTGAAGAAAGTAGGAAAAACCACTGAGCTGGTCAGGTACAATCTAAACCAAATCTCTTACGAAAACACAGTGGAAGTGAAGAACAGATTTAAGGAACTCGATTTGGTGGACAAAGTGCCTGAAGAACTATGGAACAAGGCTCCTAACATTATACAGGAGGCAGCAATAAATATCATCCAAAAGAAAAGGAAATGCAACAAAGCAAAGTGGCTATCCAACGAGGCCTTAGAAATAGCAGAGAGGAGAAGGGAAGCTAAATGCAAGGGAGATAGGGAAAGTTACAGAAAATTGAACACAGACTTCCAAAGAATAGCAAGAAGAGAGAAGAGGGCCTTCTTAAATGAACAGTGCAAAGAAATAGAGGAAAATTATAGAAAGGGAAAAACCAGAGATCTGTTCAAGAAAATTGGAAATATTAAAGGAACCTTTTGTGCAAAGATGGACATGATGAAGGACAAAAATGGTAGGGACCTAACAGAAGCAGAAGACATCAAGAAGAGGTGGCAAGAATACACAGAGGAATTATACCAGAAACATCCAGAGATAGTTGGTTGCTGACCTTGAGCCAGACATCCCGGAGAGTGAAGTCAAGTGGGTCTTAGAAAGCATGGCTAACAACAAGGCAAGTGGAGGTGATGGCATTCCAGAAGACGTCAAGAAGAGGTGGCAAGAATACACAGAGGAATTATACCAGAAACATCCAGAGATAGTTGGTTGCTGACCTTGAGCCAGACATCCCGGAGAGTGAAGTCAAGTGGGTCTTAGAAAGCATGGCTAACAACAAGGCAAGTGGAGGTGATGGCATTCCAGTGGAACTACTGAAAATCTTAAAAGATGATGCCGTTAAGGTGCTACACTCAATATGCCAGCAAGTTTGGAAAACTCAGCAGTGGCCAGAGGATTGGAAAAGGTCAGTCTACATCCCAATCCCAAAGAAGGACAGTGCCAAAGAATGCTCCAACTACCGTACAATTGCACTCATTTCACATGCTAGCAAGGTTATGCCCAAAATCCTACAAGGTAGGTGTCAGCAGTATGTGTACTGAGAACCCCCATTGACTATGAAAAAGCCTTTGACTGTGTGGACCACAACAAACTATGGTAAGTTCTTAAAGAACTGGGAGTTCAAGAACTGGTCTAGCATCAAGCCCTTGGGATACTGTGTCTTGCTTCACATCTGTTGTTCGGTGCCAGACAACTTCATCTAATAAAACACCTAATAAAACCTCCTCAATGCCTTTGAGCCCATCAGGTACCACCATCCAAACCCCAAAGAACTCTCACTGGATGTTCTGTTGAGGATTAAACCAAGAGTGGCATGATCCATTGTTAAACCAACGCACACAATGGCTCATTGATGAGATGCTGCCAAGGTTCATCAGTTCATCCTTCCAGTTAAGTACAGTGCCCAAGAGTTAAATCTCTTTCTTAATGCAGAATCACTTGCATTCACCTTCAAGGCAATTAGGGCAACATTGCTCCCAACAAAAGTCCGCATAGTCAAAGCTATGGCTTTTTCAGTAGCGATGTATGGAAGTGAGAGCTGAACCATAAAGAAGGCTGACTGCCAAAAAATTGATGCTTTTGAATTGTGGTGCTGGAGGAGACTCTTGAGAGCCCCCTGGACTGCAAGGAGAATAAACCTATCCATTCTGAAGGAAATCAACTCTGAGTGCTCACTGGAAGGACATATCCATCTCATGAGAAGAGAAGACTCCCTGGAAAAGACTTTCATGCTGGGAAAGTGTGAAGGCAAGAGAAGGGGACGACAGAGGACGAGATGGCTGTATAGTGTCACTGAAGCTACCAACATGAATTTGACCTAACTCCGTGAGGCAGTGGAAGACAGGAGGGCCTGCCGTGTTCTGGTCCATGGGATCATGAAGAGTTGGATGCAACTTAATGACTAAACAACAACACACACATCTATTTAAAACTGAAGAAGCAGTATGAGTCATTGTTCCAGGAGCACATTTATTAAGTTTTCTTCAGAGTCCGGAGACACTAGTTCTACTGGGAGACTATATTCTCTGTATGTACAACTATAAATGTTTATTTGAAAGTTGTGTTCAGAATAGCTGGATTGCCTCACTTATGCTCTTTACACTATCACCCTGATATGCAAACTACTCCCAGTCATAGACCCACAAACGTAAATTCAACCATTCAACTCTTCCTCAAAATCAAACTGATACATACATTGCCCCAAGCCTAAGGGAAAGAGCAAACAAAATAAACCTCTGAGACTACCAAATGCACTTAGCAAACACAGAGAGTAATGAGGGAAGATCTGTCATTACTACCAATATACTAGTGTTTCTAAAGAAAGAGAGAGAAAGAAAGAAAGAAAGAGAGAAAGAAAGAAAGAAAGAAAGAAAGAAAGAAAGAAAGAAAGAAAGAAAGAAAGAAAGAAAGAAAGAAAGAAAGAAAGAAAGAAAGAAAGCTGGACACAGGCCACAAGGGGGCAGTGGTTGTGGTAAACCGTGGGAAAGTGAAATTGTGATACCGGATGTGGGAGACCTATTACAGTGGGGTCTTGACTTGAGAACTTAATCCGTATTGGAAGGCGGTTCTCAAGTCAAAAAGTCTGTAAGTCAAGTCTCTATTGACCTACAGTGCATTGAAAACCGATTAATCCCGTAACAGGCCGTTTTTGTTTCATTTTGGTTTTTTTCTGGTCTGTAAGTCAAATCTCAGTCTGCAAGTCAAACCTAAATTTTGCGGCCAGAGAAGTCTGTAACTCAAAAAGTCTGTAAGTCAAGCCGTCTGTAAGTCAAGGGTCCACTGTATATTAACATTAAAATGGAGCACCATCGTCATGCTGTCACATGTGCAAACATAAAGGAACAACTGGGAGAAAAAAAGCCATATTACCTAGCACGGAAACTTTGGCTTGAAATGGTGGATTTCAGTTCCCATATCATTACTCGACCATCACTGACTATAAGAGCTGCAGTATTTTCATTCACTGGACAGCACACCATACTGAATGGGCGAACAGTCTTGGTAACTCTGATGGCATCACACTGACTTCGTAAATCATACACCAACTCCTGAATGTGATCAGGATCTACAAGAATCAAAATACAATGTATGAGGTATCCATAGCTGTCAAGCAAATGCATTGCTCTTGTTGACAGTTCTTCTGGTTCTTGCTTCTATCTCTTTGGTTTACAAAAACATAACCAGTTCATATCGTAACACTGAGATAGTGAAGACTGAACGGAAGATTTGTGCCAGAAGCAATTAGGTTACCTTGCACGTATGTTGCAGAATAAATGCAGCATAGAGGGCACAGTAATCCATTACTAATATAGTGAGGTAAAAGAACAATGCACCTTTATTAGAAAATGTACAGCTTATGTCCTTCCTAATCCAGTCTATTTTAAACAGACATACATCCAAGTTTTTACTCCAATCAGAATTTAAGATACTTTACTATGGGGAAATTCCCTGCATCTTGTATCCTCAAGTTTTTTTAATACTGTGAAGTTATAATATCCTCACACTTTAGCCATACTGTGACACTAGAAATTTTAGCTAGTCTACTGATGGCCCAAGTGTTAATATAAATGTGGCCTAGAAAGCTACCCTCCTAGACATAAGGAGCCCACTCACCTGGATCTTCATTTGGTGTAACACTATTGGCAGATCTGCGAATTCTTAAGGTTATGCAGCCATTTTCATGAAGGCAGAACAATCCATCACGCTGATAACAAGGAATTACCTTGATAAAAAGAGACAAGAACTGTAGGTTAATATTCTTCTTGTTCCTAAAGGAATCCTGCTCTCAACAGTAATAAATTAACTCAAATCACATAGGCATTAATGTGGGGGACTGGTTATAATTCCCTAAAATCGATTTAAAGTACTGTCATATTTGGCCATCACTCAGAACGGAGCAGGTTTAAGTTCAGTACTTGAGTTAATGTTGTAGAATTCAAACAATATGATTAAAAACAGAAAGAATATTTGTGCCTCACTTTTCCAGCAGTTCTCATGTTCCTACGATTCACAGAGTAGCCTGAGCAACAACATCACATGTTTTTTTTGCAAAAAAATAATTATTATTAATGTAAGCAAACCATTCACTCTTTGGATTTAATCTGGTTAACCTTTAACCAACAAAAAAGCTACAAGTGTTTCAATAGACATCCTTTATATAGGAACTGTGGCTCCTATCAGCTCTCATCAGCAACAGCCAGGCTCACCATGGTTAAAAATCATGATAGGAACAATAGTCCATCAACACCTACAAGACAGAGGTTTCCAGCTTCTGTTTTCTAGAGTAACAACTCACACCTAACTTCATTTTAGAGATATTTATCTTTCTTAATACAAGACACTCCTTTTATATATACAATTAATAGTATTTAAGAAGAGAGATGGAAGGGTTTTTCCCATGTTGGATGACTTCAGCACAGCTAACAGACATTATTGGATAGTGGTAGCTTTACAATGCTCCCACCAGCATCTCTCAGATTTAAAATGCACAAAGCCAGCAATACAGCAAAAGCATTCATTTTAACGAAACTGCACATTTGTGACAGCCAGGACAGATACCACTTCTTTATAAATACTTGCTGATGAGAAGCTATATTCTGTTTACTCACATGAAATGTTTTTATTCTCTCTCTCTTTCTTTCTTTGGTGAATACAAAAACAGGGCAGAGGCTGAGTAAAGAATGATACTGTAGAAACTGAAGTGCCTGATTTGAGACCCAACTAGACATCTCATGTGTATGAGTTTTATATACACACATATCCCCAGAAAAAGTATTTAATACTCATGGCCCTATTCATGAATATTTGGAAGGTTTAATTTGAAAACACGAGCAAAATGCTAACCTTATCCCCTCCTATTAATATCTCCATAGGAAAAGATACAGCTTTGGGGGGGGGAAGGGTGGATCCCCAAAACTCAGGGTTCTTATTTTTATGGAGGGGCCCTACATATTGCACAATGTCTCCTCTTCAGATTGACCCTCACATGGAGACAATGGCATACTGGGCATACAGCTCATGCTTTCAGAGGAAGCCTTTGTTTTCCCCTGAAAGTTCTGAACTTCCGAACTAGGAATCATGGGAAGGGGACTTTGAATATGACACCTTATTTTTGTTACTGGTGAATGCCTTCAAAATGCCACCACCTCTATATTTTTCTGTCCACACAAGTGAGCATACTTTATTCTTAGACATTTACAAAAGCTGTGATGTTCAGCTTTTTTCTATCCAGCTCACACAGATTAATGACTCCAGAAGAACAAAACAGTTTACATAAGCCGTCATGCTCAGAAAAGCTTTGTGACTATTGGAGAAAACATCCAAACAACCATAAAATGATGTTTCCTTCCATGACAGGACTGTTTCCACTTTAGTAATTTTTATAATGCCACAAAATGCAATGGGATTTACAGCAGACTTTTGGGAGCAGAATTAAACAGTTTTGGCTATAGTGGGCTCTAATTTCCCCCATCTTCTTTACTGCTTCTCACTACCATAAGAGGATCACCATCCCAAAGCCACAATAAAAACACTACAAGAATTTACTGTGTTTGTTTCTTCCATACACTTCTGCCAACTTGAGACTTATAAGCCCTCAACCACTTGAACACATCAAACGGTCAAAAATTATTCTGGCAAAGAGAAGGGCTAAAACAACCTCAGGATCATAGCTGTCAGTTACAATGTTCCTTCAAGGTTAGTCCATTTTTTCCCCATACATTTTTGCCCTAAAACATTTGATTTCATGTTCCCCACTGAGTCTTAACTGCTGCCTGAGATGATTATTGCACACTTCCAGTCTATGACCAGAAACATCTGCATTCCATAAGAAAAGCAGAGTAAATAAACCTAGGCACCAGTTCCTAACAAAAATCTTCAGATAATTCTTTCTGAATGGAAGCTAACTCTGCACCTTGCCTTCCAGCCAAAAATCAACTTCTTAATCACAAAGATACCATTTCAGGCTGCAAATTAACTTGTTTCCCCTCTGTACTCACTGACAGTTTTGAAAAAAAATGGAACTAAATATAATGTTCATAGAACTGAATAATTTTCATAGAAGTGAAAATTAAGGCACATACATAAGCAACATGGCTTTATTACCTGTAGAAAAGGCACTCCTGTCCTTTCGATTGCTATCACACCAACTGTCTGGTTTACTTCAAGGTCAAGAATCAAGATTTCTCTTGGGTAAAGTAACAACATGTAGTTTCGTTTGGAAGGCAGGTAGCATAGCTGAAGGCACTCATTCAGTGTTACTGACTCAGCACTAAACACATCACAAATAAACTCTATTAAAATACTTTTGTTGCAAGCATACAATCCATGACAAAATCAAATAGCTATGCATAGTACCTAAGTCTACTTCATAATCTTCTATCTTGAATAACTGATACTACTGATATGCCATTTCACTGTAAACCTCAGTACTGCAGAATAGTAAGATTTGTGTCTAAATGAAGCAATGGAAACGTTTTGGACCCTACTCTGTGTGGGTCTTTAGTATTTGTGTGTGTGTGTGTGTGTGTGTGTGTGTCCTAATTATAAGTATTGCTTGGCCAAGGAGAACCACACCACAAATTATATTTTAAGAATATATCTAAGTTTAACCACTCCAGAGATAAACCATCATTTTATTTATTTATTTATTTATTTATTTATTTATTTATTTATTTATTTATTTATTTATTTATTTATTTATTTATTTATTCATTTTATTTATTTATTTATTCATTCATTCATTCATTCATTCATTCATTCATTCATTCATTCCCCGCCTATCTGGACTACCAGTCCACTCTAGGCGGTATTTGCTTTATCAAGTTAATATTCTATAATAACTGGGGGCTTCCTACCTAGACTTGCAAACATCCTGAGATGTTCCCTTGATGTGCTTTTAGTCTGGGGACTGGGAAAAGCAGAACAACTCTAATATTTGAATAACTAATATTTGGTGACAAAAGAAAAAGAAATTTAATACAAGTATAGTATTTCTATTTATAAAATCCAGTCTTTTGACCTTAATCTTTCATACGTGCTATCTGCAAAATCTACTGGGGAAAAGTACAAAATGTACAGAATGGCATTCACTCCAGAGAAACTGAAACATGCTTAATTTCCACTGAATCTGCTAGAACTCTATCAGGCCCACAAGCAGGGTGAATCAAAATAAATGTTTTGTTTTTTAAAAAAATAGATTTAAACCACGATTTAAACAAAAACATTATTTATTTATTTAAAGTGTAAAGCTACCTTGGACTTTGCTAGTTTGTTGCCAAAATATTTGGAGGCCTATAACACACAACAGCAAACATAACCAAAATGTTCTACAGTATAGTCAACATATTGGTTTAGCTGTCTGGAATGAGTCTTCTGAACACAGCAGAAAAGAAGGTCTTCATACATACCTTGGTTTTTCATTAGTGATGAGAATTTTTACTTTGTCCAGAGCCTTTTTAGCTCCTGTAGCAGCTGCCAGTTTGTTATGAACAGGACTAGAATGTGGACTGGAAATGTAAACCTTTTTCCCTGAACTGACAGGAGCCTTGGAAGGAGAAAAGTCTGAAATGAACACTATTCCCTCACTGGTAAGCACTGTGCCGGGGGAAAAAAAGATAATTTATTTGGTTACAGTGGATACACAGGTGCCCAAATTAAAATGAACATAAGCAGATATACCACACAAGAAAGTCTTGTTTCTCACTATTAAGAAGTTTTTCATCACTGCTTTCTCTATACTGTTCTCCGTGGCATAATTGGAGGAGGACAGATAAGCCTGTGCTTTGATATGCTTGCATTTATATCCCACAGGAAACCACACATTATCATGATATAAATGATCAGGAATTAATCATATTGAGCTTGAGGCTCCTTTGCCTACCACCCCACATACCAGTGCAATTAGATGGAATTTGGAAGCTTCCACTTTTGTTTAGCTATGGCTTTTCACTTTGCCAGGGGGAATGAAATGATTTGCTTTATCTCCAGTTTACACAACAAGGCTGGTTTAAATTAATAGCAGCAAAATGTAAACACAGTTTGGGGTCCAGACAACACAGCAAGCCGGTTGAGCAAAAGCTTTTGAACTCCTTGTCTCATTTATATGGAAGAAATAAGTACGGAAGTATGGGACTTACTGTGCTGCATTTTTACCCACTCATGTTGCACTAAACTGTTTGACCTTGATGTGTGAATACAGCTGATATTTCGGCTTGCTTTTTCTACAGTTTGAGCCCCTGCATAGCTGGACTACAGAGGAAGCCAACCCAAGGCATCAGAAAGCTGCATATGTATTGTAGAACACATTGCACTTTCACTCTTTATCAAACACTGAACATGACATGTGGCACCTTTGGTTGTTTGCTATATTAATTAATGACTCATTTCTACAACCAGTCTCATTTAATCACTTCAGATTCAATTCTGGAAAAAAAAAACCAACCTCTCTAGAATTTTACACAACAGAATAAAATCATTTTATGTTGCGCTTTCTCTTGCTACTTTGGCAGCAAATCTTCACACAACAGCAATATTTACTTTTATGGAAGGCAAGAACAGTGAGCTTTTTTCTTCCTAATATCATACTCACATGTTAAATTTGAAGGATCAAAGGGGTCAAATGAAAAAGAAAGAATATTTTCTGCATAACTTTTCTTCCAAAGTTTGGTGCCTGTGTCTGCATTCCACAACACAATGTAATTGGGCGGGTGAACAGCAAGTAGCAGATCATGAGAGGCATCTTGACTCCATAGCCATTGCATATCTAACAAAACAAAACAGTGGGGGGGGGCAGGGAGGGAATAGTCTTAAAACTTGGAGCACTCATTGCCTTTTTGTCTCCTAGGTTTCTAAAAGAAAAATCAGAATAAATGACATACAGGACGCACCATTTTACTGAAATATTTTGTTACTCAGCTTAAATAAATTCTTGTACTGCCCAGAGAGGTCACAAAATACTATACAATCTGTCTCTGTCAAGTTTTCACAATACAGTTGGCGAAAAGATATGTCAGAGATATAATGTGACCCTTGGCAGACTTTAGACAAGATGGTTTTTGGTCAAAAGTGGCTCACATTTAAGTCATCAAGTGTCAAGACTACACATCTGTTTCATTGTCAGTGCAAGTAAAAATACCTCAGAGCCAAATTTCTGTATTATAGAAACTAGTGGCTGTACTGTATAATGCTTGCTGTGAGAGGAATGTGGGGGTTTGATACTGATATTCCAGATGATACTGGAAACATTTATATTTCTCAGTTCTAGTGCCAACACCCAGAAGTTACGCCCCTGGCTGCTGCCAGTGTTCCCATGCTGCATGATTTGACTGAATTGGTTAACCACTTTGCAAAGCTCCAGTTTTGTTTCACATGCTTGTAACAGTTAGGATCCCTGTGTTAACAATGGAGAGATCCTAACTGGCACTGTTCCCAATATATCTTGTGACAGCGCAGCCAATGCTGCCTGCTGTGTGGATACAGAACAGGACTGGAACTTCACTTAATGGAGTTGTAGCAAGACTTCTTCAGCGGAAAGGGTGAGGTTGCAGATGACTAATAAAAATCACTGTTGTGAAGAATAAAATCTGTTGACTTCTGGGTATGCTTCTATGGAAACTTCAGAAAAACTCTTGCTACTTAATTGTTTTGAAAAGGGATTTGAAAAGACATTTGAGAAGGTGCAGTAAGGCTTGGAAAAAGGCAGGACTAGTGAGAAGTCCTCTTGATGTTGGCCACTTACTTTCTTAAATTGGGGACAGAAAGCAACATTAGTAACAGAAACGGAGCCATGTGGTTTCTGAGGTCTACCATTTATTGAAGCCCCACATCCTAATAAAAAGCAGAAGCTTATTAATGTTCCAGATCAGTCTTTCTGTCATGCATCATCTAGTGAACTTCACAAAGTGCAAGAGCACAAATCTCCACTTTCCACTACAAGCAAGTGTTATAGAGCCATTAGTTTCTATATATAATGCAATCAACCTCCAAATATATAGCAGGAAGCCCTATAAAATTCACTGTCTGACTGCAAGTGTAACTCACATGCTACAATACATCATCCAATGAGTTATTACCAGTGGCCAAGAAATGCTCATGTTACAGTATCTCACCTAAGGGAAAATGGCTACAGCACCGCAGCTTTCATTGATATGGACACGAAAAAGAACAGGAAAAAGTCAAGATCAACAAGATTATCAACAATGAGATAACATTATAGCTTATTTCCTGAAACATAAGGTATTTTTATTTGCCTCATCTCATCTTTATGTCTCCTCATTCTCACTGAATGCCAAAGAAGCAAACTGATCATCAAATAAGGAAAAAAAAAACCAACAACCTCATTTTGGAGGAAGAGCAACTAAAAGCAGTTATGTCTAAGAGAAGCAAATGCTGAAGAGAGCTTGGAACACTTAGAATGGAAATACAATGAGCTCATTTGATCTTGCCAGTCTTTGATGAATGCAAGCAAGATTACCATAAATATGGGAGCAGTTTATTGATACTATATTCAAATACATTACTTCAGAAAAAGTAGAGCTAAGTGACAGCAATAGTTAAAATGTCCAGGACTGAAATACCTTATTACACAGAATTATTCATTGCTGTGTATTTAAGTTGTGCTTTGTGACCATATTATTTCTACTTCATCATCACAAGCAATCAAACAAATGTTCAATTACTTTAGCAACATTTGAAGTCACAAGAGAAAACGTCTGGGTCATTCTGGGTCATGAAGAGTTTTACAAGCCCACTTTGCAAGTGAAAAATCAATTATTCATGGAAGCCCAAGTCTGAAATTTCATTTCATCAAGATGCTGTGAATTTTACTTCAGGAATAAAGAGCATCTATAACTGTAATGATAATGAGGGATGTGGGTAGTGCTAAAAACAGCAGGAGACGCACAGTTTGCTACAGGGAGAAAAGAAAAAGGACCAGAAGAGAGCTGAGACACATTACAGAGCATTAAAGCACAAGCTTGTGTTCATGGAGAAATAGAAAATCTGTACATTCTGCTCAAGCTGCTATTATCACTTGCTTCAGAGCAGAGAACCTCAAGCTGTTGAGCCAAATCCAGCCCTCCTGGAGGCCAAATCTGCTGGTGACCAAAGAAAGCCTTTTTTCTTTCTGTGAGGAAGGAAATCTACATGTGAAGCTTTTGAGCCCATTCTTAAAGCTCCATTTGTGAAAATAAAGAAAACCAGAAATATTTAACAAGCATCTACTGTATATAATCCTTCATAGTATAGTCACACCTCCAAGGCAGCCCAGAAATGTTCTCTGCAAAAGCTTGAAGAAAAAACACACACCACAATTCAATTTATCTGGGCAAGCTCAACGTAAGATTGCAATGTGTCCAAAAGGCTCTTTTAAGTCTTTGATTAAATTGAACTGAAAATTCCTACATGGAATTTACATTTTAAAATGGTAACACTCTTGGCTCAACAAGACCATGGAGTTGCTTTACAACTTTCACCAGCATTTATGAAAAAAGAGTAGCAAAAGCAGATGACTTAGCAAATTTGATACTAGAGACCCCAACTTAATGATGCTTTACAAACTTCCACTTTTACAACCATCATATTAGCTAATGCCCACTCCTACATCCAAAACTTGCTTTTATGAACAACTCTGTGGTGTGGGGTTTCAGGGATGTTTTCTGGTATTCTAAATCATAATATATGAAATATTATGTTTGGTTTGTTACCAAAAAATGTTAGCAACAGACAGCAAATATATGGCATTTTAGTCCAGTAAAGACCTAACCATAAACAACTGCATTGTGCACAAGAAGAAGCTGTCCAATCTTATTTTTCAGTTTCCCATAGGCAACTGGTCATCATCATGATCACCAAAGTTCCCATTAAGCTGGGCACGTGCGCACAGCTGTCTTCTTCCTCCACGCAGCGATCACGTTCTGGTTGCGATGGAACCCAGCGTGGGGGGGCGCGGAGTCATACGCACGCACGCAGGGGCAGAGTCGTGCTAGAGAGAGGCAGAGACCCACCCAGCAGAGCTGAACATTAGATGGTATGTCGATTATCATAACCATGTGTCATCAATTTTGATTCGTGGCAACCATTTTCAGGGTTTTACAGGTAGAGAATACTCAGAAGCAGTTTACTATTCTCTTCTTCTGGAGGCATCCTGGGACTGTGCAGCTTGCCCAAGGCCACACAGGCTGGTTTTCTCCACCAGAGGCAAAGTGAGGAATCACAGTCCCAGTCTCTGGTTCTTCAGCCTGATACTGAAACCTCTGAGCTATCCAGCTAGCCCTCAATTGAGTGATAGGGTTTGTCAATGCTTGTTTTGGAAGAATAACATGTAGATGTTCATACAGTGGGGTCTTGACTTGAGAACTTAATCTGTATTGGAAGGCGGTTCTCAAGTCAAAAAGTCTGTAAGTCAAGTCGCCATTGACCTACAATGCATTGAAAACCGATTAATCCCGTAACAGGCTGTTTTTGTTCCATTTTGGTTTTTTTCTGGTCTGTAAGTCAAATCTCAGTCTGCAAGTCAAATCTAAATTTTGCGGCCAGAGAAGTCTGTAACTCAAAAAGTCTGTAAGTCAAGTTGTCTATAAGTCAAGGGTCCACTGTAGTAGCTAATACGAGTACAACAGCCCAAACAACTATGGATATACACAGGCATATACTGTGAGGAAGATGTTCCATGATTTCCTACAGAGTCTGAATGAGACCATATACACCATGTGAATGTGGGAGGTCATGGAAAAGATGAAAAGGGGCATTAGGAAATAGGAGGGGGTCTTCTGAGAGAAGCTGGAATCAGGAGTCAGGATCCAAAGCAACAATACCAGGAAATATTCAAGAACACACCTTGAATATTTCTTTAAAGCCTTCATTTCTCAAGAATTTCACTGTGTATTATAATTTTAAAAATAAAAATAGCCATGTGATCCATCCATAGGAAGAAAGTTCTGAATAATACTGTCAATGGATCACTAAATGATGTATTCACTGTGCTAATCAATACAGACCTATTCAGAAACAATACTCCCATTGAATTCAAGGTCTGTGTGCATACCATTAATAATTTATGTTATCTGCTATAAAGACAAACAATGTTTTAACAATATTTCATATAATCATTTCATAATTTTCAATCTGTGAAATAAAGTCCTACTTACTTAAGCAAGCATGAAGTGTGAATATTTACATAGCTGTTTAAAAAGTGCTTAAACTTTTGTTAAATTTCTGGAGATTTTCAAAATGATTCTTATCTGAAAAATTTGCTCTTAAATTTTTCAACATGTAAAACAAACAGGTCTGAAGTAAAATGAAAATTTTAAATCGACCAGTCATGCTAAATATGTCTGGCCAAGGGAAAAAAAACAACAAATACTGGAAGCAACATTCCCTCTAATTTTCAGCCCTACTGGGCAGGGCTCTGCCCCTTGCAAAGATGACTCTGCACCCCCTGAGTGGGGTTCCTCTGTGACTGGAACCGGGGGCTGAAAATGATAACTGTGGGTGCACAGAGGAGGAGAAATGCTGTGTGGAATAGCAAGTGCACACCTTAGAGGAAACTTTAACTGGAAGGAACATAAAGACAACCTGTAATTATTTTTAATTCCAGCTAAGTGCAGTTGTATATGATGCAGTATTAGTTCCCTACCTTGAATGGGTTTTGTGTGCTCTTGGATTTCACAGCGAGCAGATCCTGTGGCTACATCCCAAACAATTATCTTTCCAGTAGCATCAGCAGAAGCCAAGCGCAATGAATAAGGTGATCCAATATTGTGGTGATAGTTCTCCCTAGCCCATTTAACCTAAAGAAAATAAAATTAAAGTTGATTATTATTTGTATTGGAGATGTGAAACATATTTGGATTTCATTTTATTTTTTATATAACAATAAAAATGATAATAGAAATAAGTAATATCAAGCATAAGAAAACAGGAACAGTGAATAGAGATCCTGGAACGAAGAAGCATAACTACACAATTATTCCTTCTATGAAATTAGAAACTGACAGTTTAGAAACCTAAACCTTATTTGTGCACCTGACAGATGGTAAGCTCAGTTGCTACACACTGAGCAAAAATAGCACCAAAAATGGGACCAGTTTATCAACATATTCCTATAATCAATAAAGTCCGCAGAAGTCTTCATTCATATAATCAATGAAATCCAACTACAAAAAATAATGGGCCAAGCTACTCTCCCCCAAAATAGCGTAATGAGGATAGAATACATTCTGAAGGCAAAGAATACTGAATGTTGGCTGGAAAAGAAACCTGGAGGGTGAGAATAGGCTGTCACATTTACAGGAAATGGCAAACAGAACCACGAACAGAATACTCATTTCAGTAGATGACAAGACATGGCAAGTTCTTGTTGCAAGTTTCATTCATAAAAAGTAAAATGCCGGCATAAATATGCGGGTAGTTTGTCAATGATCATAATGATGTTTGCTTATCCTACAATATATTATCTCAACATGAAACTGGCTCATATTATGCTCGTCCTCAATTTTTTTACCTTGACAACATTAGCCTTGTGCCTTTCTAAAACCTGCAGAGTTTGAGCAGTCTTGGAATCAATCACTAGAACAAGAGAATGGCATCCATATGCAATCAATCCTTGCCAGCCCCTAGAAAAAAGCACAACTATTGTTACACACAGAAAAGTAATTGTGATCAGCTTTGGTAGATGTATGGTATAGCTGCTGCACAGAAATAGAACAAAACAAAGCAGAAACAACCAAACATGATTTGAAGCTTCAATCATTCAATCATTAATTATAAAATGTTTCAAGACAAAATCAATGCCCATACCCATTGCAAAATGGCAACCTTTAATATATATCAAAAATGAAGAAAATGTTTAGCTTTTATGCATACCAGAAGAGATCCTTAATTGTTTTGTGCTAATAAGAATTTCCCTCTTCCTTTCTTCAGTAAGGACAGTTTTATGGCTTTTATTTTTATCTTCTGGACCTAGACCTCCATCCTTTCACCAGCAGCTTATCTGCTTGTAAGTGAAATATGGTACTACACAACACATCACACAGAAATGTACATATACAGTGGTGCCTCGCACAACGGGCGCCTCGTAGAGCGATGAATTCGCTATACGGGGCCGTTTTTGCGATCGCAAATGCGATCGCAAAACGGTGCCCGTATAGGCGGGAAATCGCAGAACGAAGGTCGGTAAGCTGCTCGCTTACCGACCTT